GGGCGCGCCAAAAGTGCCTCAGGGGTTCTTCCGATCGCGAAAAGAATGGTCCCAGGCGATTTCCCGGGTCGATATCTAGCCGCACCACCACTAACTTCACACGTGCCTCATATCCCTTATCCCTTAATCGTCCCTTAAATGACGGGGCGCGCCAAAAGTGCCTCAGGGGTTCTTCCGATCGCGAAAATAATGGTCCCAGGCAATTCCCCGGGTCGATATCTAGCCGCACCACCACTAACTTCACACGTGCCTCACATCCCTCATCCCTTAATCGTCCCTTAAACGACGGGGCGCGCCAAAAGTGCCTCAGGGGTTCTTCTGATCGCGAAAATAATGGTCCCAGGCGATTCCCCGGGTCGATATCTAGCCGCACCACCACTAACTTCACACGTGCCTCATATCCCTCATCCCTTAATCGTCCCTTAAATGACGGGGCGCGCCAAAAGTGCCTCAGGGGTTCTTCCGATCGCGAAAAGAATGGTCCCAGGCGATTCCCCGGGTCGATATCTAGCCGCACCACCACTAACTTCACACGTGCCTCATATCCCTTATCCCTTAATCGTCCCTTAAATGACGGGGCGCGCCAAAAGTGCCTCAGGGGTTCTTCTGATCGCGAAAATAATGGTCCCAGGCGATTCCCCGGGTCGATATCTAGCCGCACCACCACTAACTTCACACGTGCCTCATATCCCTTATCCCTTAATCGTCCCTTAAATGACGGGGCGCGCCAAAAGTGCCTCAGGGGTTCTTCCGATCGCGAAAAGAATGGTCCCAGGCGATTCCCCGGGTCGATATCTAGCCGCACCACCACTAACTTCACACGTGCCTCATATCCCTTATCCCTTAATCGTCCCTTAAATGACGGGGCGCGCCAAAAGTGCCTCAAGGGTTCTTCCGATCGCGAAAATAATGGTCCCAGGCGATTCCCCGGGTCGATATCTAGCCGCACCACCACTAACTTCACACGTGCCTCATATCCCTTATCCCTTAATCGTCCCTTAAATGACGGGGCGCGCCAAAAGTGCCTCAGGGGTTCTTCCGATCGCGAAAAGAATGGTCCCAGGCGATTCCCCGGGTCGATATCTAGCCGCACCACCACTAACTTCACACGTGCCTCATATCCCTTATCCCTTAATCGTCCCTTAAATGACGGGGCGCGCCAAAAGTGCCTCAGGGGTTCTTCCGATCGCGAAAATAATGGTCCCAGGCAATTCCCCGGGTCGATATCTAGCCGCACCACCACTAACTTCACACGTGCCTCACATCCCTCATCCCTTAATCGTCCCTTAAACGACGGGGCGCGCCAAAAGTGCCTCAGGGGTTCTTCTGATCGCGAAAATAATGGTCCCAGGCGATTCCCGGGTCGATATCTAGCCGCACCACCACTAACTTCACACGTGCCTCATATCCCTCATCCCTTAATCGTCCCTTAAATGACGGGGCGCGCCAAAAGTGCCTCAGGGGTTCTTCCGATCGCGAAAAGAATGGTCCCAGGCGATTCCCCGGGTCGATATCTAGCCGCACCACCACTAACTTCACACGTGCCTCATATCCCTTATCCCTTAATCGTCCCTTAAATGACGGGGCGCGCCAAAAGTGCCTCAGGGGTTCTTCTGATCGCGAAAATAATGGTCCCAGGCGATTCCCCGGGTCGATATCTAGCCGCACCACCACTAACTTCACACGTGCCTCATATCCCTTATCCCTTAATCGTCCCTTAAATGACGGGGCGCGCCAAAAGTGCCTCAAGGGTTCTTCCGATCGCGAAAATAATGGTCCCAGGCGATTCCCCGGGTCGATATCTAGCCGCACCACCACTAACTTCACACGTGCCTCATATCCCTTATCCCTTAATCGTCCCTTAAATGACGGGGCGCGCCAAAAGTGCCTCAGGGGTTCTTCCGATCGCGAAAAGAATGGTCCCAGGCGATTCCCCGGGTCGATATCTAGCCGCACCACCACTAACTTCACACGTGCCTCATATCCCTTATCCCTTAATCGTCCCTTAAATGACGGGGCGCGCCAAAAGTGCCTCAGGGGTTCTTCCGATCGCGAAAATAATGGTCCCAGGCAATTCCCCGGGTCGATATCTAGCCGCACCACCACTAACTTCACACGTGCCTCACATCCCTCATCCCTTAATCGTCCCTGAAACGACGGGGCGCGTCAAAAGTGCCTCAGGGGTTCTTCCGATCGCGAAAAGAATGGTCCCAGGCGATTCCCCGGGTCGATATCTAGCCGCACCACCACTAACTTCACACGTGCCTCATATCCCTTATCCCTTAATCGTCCCTTAAATGACGGGGCGCGCCAAAAGTGCCTCAAGGGTTCTTCCGATCGCGAAAATAATGGTCCCAGGCGATTCCCCGGGTCGATATCTAGCCGCACCACCACTAACTTCACACGTGCCTCATATCCCATTCCCGTCATTTAAGGGACGATTAAGGGATAAGGGATATGAGGCACGTGTGAAGTTAGTGGTGGTGCGGCTAGATATCGACCCGGGGAATCGCCTGGGACCATTCTTTTCGCAATCGGAAGAACCCCTGAGGCACTTTTGGCGCGCCCCGTCATTTAAGGGACGATTAAGGGATAAGGGATATGAGGCACGTGTGAAGTTAGTGGTGGTGCGGCTAGATATCGACCCGGGGAATCGCCTGGGACCATTATTTTCGCGATGGGAAGAACCCTTGAGGCACTTTTGGCGCGCCCCGTCATTTAAGGGACGATTAAGGGATAAGGGATGTGAGGCACGTGTGAAGTTAGTGGTGGTGCGGCTAGATATCGACCCGGGGAATCGCCTGGGACCATTCTTTTCGCGATCGGAAGAACCCCTGAGGCACTTTTGACGCGCCCCGTCGTTTCAGGGACGATTAAGGGATGAGGGATGTGAGGCACGTGTGAAGTTAGTGGTGGTGCGGCTAGATATCGACCCGGGGAATTGCCTGGCACCATTATTTTCGCGATCGGAAGAACCCCTGAGGCACTTTTGGCGCGCCCCGTCATTTAAGGGACGATTAAGGGATGAGGGATATGAGGCACGTGTGAAGTTAGTGGTGGTGCGGCTAGATATCGACCCGGAGAATCGCCTGGGACCATTATTTTCGCGATCAGAAGAACCCCTGAGGCACTTTTGGCGCACCCCGTCGTTTAAGGGACGATTAAGGGATGAGGGATGTGAGGCACGTGTGAAGTTAGTGGTGGTGCGGCTAGATATCGACCCGGGGAATTGCCTGGGACCATTATTTTCGCGATCGGAAGAACCCCTGAGGCACTTTTTGCGCGCCCCGTCATTTAAGGGACGATTAAGGGATGAGGGATGTGAGGCACGTGTGAAGTTAGTGGTGGTGCGGCTAGATATCGACCCGGGGAATTGCCTGGGACCATTATTTTCGCGATCGGAAGAACCCCTGAGGCACTTTTGGCGCGCCCCGTCATTTAAGGGACGATTAAGGGATAAGGGATATGCGGCACGTGTGAAGTTAGTGGTGGTGCGGCTAGATATCGACCCGGGGAATCGCCTGGGACCATTATTTTCGCGATCAGAAGAACCCCTGAGGCACTTTTGGCGCGCCCCGTCATTTAAGGGACGATTAAGGGATAAGGGATATGAGGCACGTGTGAAGTTAGTGGTGGTGCGGCTAGATATCGACCCGGGGAATCGCCTGGGACCATTCTTTTCGCGATCGGAAGAACCCCTGAGGCACTTTTGGCGCGCCCCGTCATTTAAGGGACGATTAAGGGATGAGGGATATGAGGCACGTGTGAAGTTAGTGGTGGTGCGGCTAGATATCGACCCGGGGAATCGCCTGGGACCATTCTTTTCGCGATCGGAAGAACCCCTGAGGCACTTTTGGCGCGCCCCGTCATTTAAGGGACGATTAAGGGATGAGGGATATGAGGCACGTGTGAAGTTAGTGGTGGTGCGGCTAGATATCGACCCGGGGAATCGCCTGGGACCATTATTTTCGCGATCAGAAGAACCCCTGAGGCACTTTTGGCGCGCCCCGTCGTTTAAGGGACGATTAAGGGATGAGGGATGTGAGGCACGTGTGAAGTTAGTGGTGGTGCGGCTAGATATCGACCCGGGGAATTGCCTGGGACCATTATTTTCGCGATCGGAAGAACCCCTGAGGTACTTTTGGCGCGCCCCGTCATTTAAGGGACGATTAAGGGATAAGGGATATGAGGCACGTGTGAAGTTAGTGGTGGTGCGGCTAGATATCGACCCGGGGAATCGCCTGGGACCATTATTTTCGTGATCGGAAGAGCCCCTGAGGCACTTTTGGCGCGCCCCGTCGTTTAAGGGACGATTAAGGGATAAGGGATATGAGGCACGTGTGAAGTTAGTGGTGGTGCGGCTAGATATCGACCCGGGGAATCGCCTGGGACCATTATTTTCGCGATCAGAAGAACCCCTGAGGCACTTTTGGCGCGCCCCGTCGTTTAAGGGACGATTAAGGGATGAGGGATGTGAGGCACGTGTGAAGTTAGTGGTGGTGCGGCTAGATATCGACCCGGGGAATTGCCTGGGACCATTATTTTCGCGATCGGAAGAACCCCTGAGGCACTTTTGGCGCGCCCCGTCATTTAAGGGACGATTAAGGGATAAGGGATATGAGGCACGTGTGAAGTTAGTGGTGGTGCGGCTAGATATCGACCCGGGGAATCGCCTGGGACCATTATTTTCGCGATCGGAAGAGCCCCTGAGGCACTTTTGGCGCGCCCCGTCATTTAAGGGACGATTAAGGGATAAGGGATACCTGCTAGGGCAAAATTAATGTCATATTCGTGCTCCCCGTCCCCGAATTGACCAGATATGACGTTTTCAAGTGATTCGGTACTCGACGATGAATACGAATCCGAATCCGACGCCAACATCACGCACATACTCTTCACAGTGCCCTGTGAAGAGCAAGCTTGTGACAGTATTTTCTTCCATTGATTATTTGCGCATAAATAAAATATGTTGCTTGGATCACCAGCATCAATAGCATCATTTACCTTTCTTATAAGACTTAATTTATAGACTGCAATCGTAACTTGATCGTAACTTCCAACTACAACCATTGACAGCTCTTTTGCCTCATATTCTATTTTAGCAGTAACTTAGCACTCGAAGCCGTGATTTTTAAGATCCTTAAAATATGGACTGAGACGTTCTTTTCGTCCGGCGCGGAGTCAACGTGACCGGCTGTTGTTGGTGCTTAGGCATTTGCCAGCACGACACTTATCGTAAGTGGAACTCAAATATGATTTTCAGATTCTCTATGTTGAAATGAATGGTTTGATCCGGTGTTGTTTGAATTGGAGCCTGATATCGGTAGTATTTTTCTGGTTTCCAATGTGGTACAATTGCGGCGCAGCTGTAGCATGCTGGCGATTTCGTAATATACGTGCTGCACAATTCGCACAGTTATTTAGAAAATATGTTCAAAAATTTGCTTAGTATTTTTAAGGATGAAATTGATAATGCATGGTCCTCATTTAATTTGAAATGTCGGTGAACTGTGCAGTGTGAATCATTTTCAGCCTGCTTGTTTGTAATATATACTTAGGGCTGCAGTATTAACTGGATTATTTGCCAGCTCTCACAGTATGATGGCGCTAGCATAGCTTTTTATTTATTAATGTAATGTACAAAGGAACCTATTTATTATTTTTTCTAATAATACCATTTTTTGTGATGTCTATCTTCTACACTGAGTGTTTATATTTATAAGCTTGGTATCTATCATACGTTGCCAGCTGACTGAATCCAGATAATACTGAGGCCCGATACCTAGCATCACAGTTCACATAGATTATTACGAGCGAGCGCAGCGAGCGAAGCGAAGTCTTTTCAATATAACGGAAAAATCTCAGTATGAGCGGCCCAGCCCGGCCTGTAACGCTTTTGAGAGGCTTATATCTCAGCAACCGCTGGATCGATTGGCCAGTCTGCAAAACGTGGCAGCCAGCTCGACGAGGTGTTTGGGGCCCCGACTGGAAAAAATGCCTCCACTACGCTGAAGTTCTCGGCGGAGGTAATGCGCCGAAATTTTGGCGCAAGGGTTTATGCGCCGAAATTATTTCACCAAGCCATGCTTCATGCGCCGAAAATTTTCCAGGCTTACTGATGGCTACAGGCTGTAGCCACGCACTTTTTGTCGGGGGGGGGGGGGCTGGAGTGTGTGTGTGGCTGTCTTCCAGTGACTACTGTCTACAGACGGTTGTTGGCACTGTCGACGGGAGCGCTGTTCGGCAGCCGGCTATTTTGTGTGCAGGGTATGACGTATTTCGCGAGCCGACGTCACAGGCGGTGACGTCGGCTCGCGCGCGAGCCGAGCGCCAACGACAAACTAACGGGAACCCTCGGACACCCTCGGGTCATAAACCGCGGAGTAGCATATTGAGCGAGTCTTAGGAGGAAAATTCATATATTTTCGTTTCTCAAATGATAATCAGGGTGTCTCTTACCTTTTTCCATATCATTTTGGCTTACCTAACACTTCAGTTGCCAAATATCGGCAATTTATTCAAGCGAAGGTATTTTCAGCAAATATCAATGGTATAGACCGAAATCTTTTGAATAAAAACTCCAACCAACAGAAATAAAAATAACTTAATTTATTCAAACCATTTCCTCCAAATAAACAACATAAAAACTCACTTTTACACGCATCATTCATAATAAAGCATACTAACACGCCGCTTTTGACAATTGCGGCGTAGAGTGGCGCGCTGCTAGCGCTCTTTTTCGATCGCAGAGACCCTGCACGCACGCGAGCACACTACGTCACGTCCGGGGGGCACAGGTATATGAAAAATCGCAGTGACGTAACACTTTCCTCGCTTCTCATTGGTCAATAGCCCGTTGCCGGGGTAACGTGCACGTATGTGAGCGCGGGCAAGAGTACTAGCCGGCCGCCGATCAGGGCTGGGATCGGGCAGACAATAGACGTCAGCAGGCCATGCGGGACCGAGCACCAGCGTTCGCTATCACAATTCACAAAATCTCCTGACTCACAAACTCACTGGCATGTTCCATAATGTAACCTTTATTTTGTTGCCCGGCTCTGATCAGCAGTAGTGCCCAGCCGGTGACTGACACCTGACGGGGCCTTCAACAGGCGTGGTGCAAGCACGGCCGATGGGATCGGGCAGATACCAGGCCACGCGGGACCGATTGCCGGCGTCCGCTCACAAACCACACGCCGGAAATACAGGAATCACAACGGTCAATACGCACACGATAGCATACGTTATCTGAACTAGGGGATCCGACAATCCATAACCTCACTCTCGATCGGTGAACTGTTCCCGCCGTGGGAGAGTCGTAATCAGGTTCACTGAACATGACTTAAATACCCTGAGACGAACACGAGACAAGATAAGTGACATTTAAGATGTTTAACTCCCTAAGACATTTAACCCTCGCCGGCCGAGGGGGGTTGGTGCCACCCCCCTGACGGTTTTTTCGCGACTGCTCCGGAGCCGTTTGCGATAGAGAGATAGAGAAAACCGTTGCGTCCGGCGAGGGTTAACTTTACATGGTCCCAGGTATGGCTGTTGTAATTGACCAAAAATAATAAAATAAATGAGGGTCATGCAATTTGAGAGCCTGAACTTCTGTGTTGTCCCACCGTCCGCCCTATACGAATATAGCTCATCGCGCAGTCACGGTGAGATTTTTTGTTTGTTTGGAACACTGGGAGCATACGAATACGGCCGGAAGCACTGGATCAAGGCGAAATTTCGTCGCAGGCTTATTTACGCCGAAGTGCGCCGAAATTTTCGACGCAAGCCGTCGATTTACGCCGAAGTACGCCGAAAATTTCGGCGCAAGCCGTCGATTTACGCCGAAGTACGCCGAAAATTTTCGGCGCAAACGCCCAACTACGCTCGAGTTCTCGACGAAAGCGTGCATTTTTTCCAGTCGGGTTTGGGGCAGCCGGAATCCTGCCCCAAATGGGGGACGCCGGTGAAAACAGGGCGCCGGAGGGCATATTAGTCACGTGACATTTGGAACTTCTCCCGCTCCATGGGCCTTCTATATGCCAAACGTCACGTGTAAATTTCACGAACCTTGATCAAATCGCTCCAGGCGCCCTGTTTTCACCGTCGTCCCAAATGGGGCAGTTGGCCTCCCGGGCAGTCAAATTTCTGCCCCAAATAGGGCATCTACTTGGGGCAGGTTAGATTATGCCCTAAATGTACTATATATAGCATAAAAACTACATAGCAATACATCACCCGCGCAAATTTATGTCGGTCGCGGTAATGAGACTCATACAATTTTTACGAAAGGATCTGATCATTGGTTAAGGTTATATTATATACTATGTAGAGCGGCTAGTGTTCCGGTTAAAATGTGATGATGACGCAGTTGGGGTGCAAAACTGCCTCATGTTGCCATGGCAACGTCAAATCAATCGGCAGCGAGGGGCGCATTTCGTTTTTGCAACCAAAGAGAGGCGCTACCCGCACAATGCCCCAATGCATCATGGAAAAAACTGATATTACACCTCGTCTCGGTGATGGTTCGGTTTGGTTTGATTTGGTTTGGTGAGGCAGGAGGCTAGAAAGGAGTATCTCCGGGTAGCGCCTTTCCTTGGTTGCTAATACGAAACACTGCGCGTAAAACATTCATAGCCCCGATGAAGGGAAAACTCGAATATGGTAACAGTTACGAATGACAATTTCTGCGCTTCAGCGACGTTTGTGGCGCAGCCCACTTTTTCTTGCGCATTTCAACAATTCTCTGCTTCTTTATTATTTTCCACCGGTAGCGTGCGCCCCGCCCCGGTTCGCCCCGACTGCAGACGGTCTGCCCCGGAATTGCCGAACTCTGCCCCAATTTCTCAAAAGCTGCCCCAATATCTGCCCCTGCCCCACTGTGTCTGCCCCGACGAGATCTCGTTGAACCCTGCCATGTTTTGCAGACTGGTCGATTGGCCTGCGGTCTTTTTTGCTGGGTAGCCCAATTCCTTCTACGTAATTGAATTCCGTAATTGACTACTTTTGATACATCTCAGTGACCGTCGTGGCACGTGCCACGTGAAAAGTCAAGGGGGTTCAAGCTGTTTTGCAAAAGTAGTGATTTTTAGAGGCTCATATCTCAGCAGCCGCTTGGGCGATTTTCTTGCGGTAATTTTTGTAGGGTAGCTGCATTCCTTCTACCAAAGGTCAGATACTCTTGATCTATGTGAGTGACCCGCACTGCACGTGGAAAATGCAAAAAGAAGAGGTACCAAATTTGTTCCCATTTCAATAACTTGGTAATTACTGTGGCGATTTCGCTGAAACTTGGCATACAGGTAGGCACCCACCAGGCAATGCATTCTCATGTGTTGCGGTTAGGGTGCTACTGCACGTGCGCACGTGCAGGGGGCGCTTCCAGATCTCGAGAACGGCTGGGCCGATTGCGCTCAAATTTGCTACACGGTTAGGGACCGGTTAGTAGGGTGCCGTGCAAAAGTCAGTTTGGACTCCGTTTGCACGTGCGCACGTGCAGTATGCCGCTTCCAGATCTCAGGAACGGCTGGGCCGATCGCGTTCGAAATGCCAACCAAAACCGTGGGGAAATACCGAAACCGAACCAACTTTGAAAGATGAGAGAAATACCAACTTTTAACCAATTTCTTAGCCTCTTATACAGGGTGTCCGGATAGTTCTGGCGCTTTTCAACATTTTCTAAAACAAATGCCATTGGTTCATAGATACTAATCAATGGATCAAAACAATGACCAGGGACACCAAGCCACATGCTTCCGCTACGTGCTCATTCAATGTAACCATCGTCGGCGCCGACGACGGCCTCGACGTAGGGGAGGAAGCGTCTGCGGGTTTTGACGATGCGGGGCATTTCCAGGTCCTCCCATGCTGTCATGATGCGAGTCTTCAGCGACTCCAGGTTGGGGTGAGAAATGGCCTAGATCCTGTTCTACAAAACGCGTAGCACGCCTTAGTCGAGCGGGTCAGGTTAAGAGAATAAGGCGGCCTGATCTCATTTCGCCACGGTGATCTGGCCCGGCAAGCTCCTCTGTCAGTTTAGCTTGAATGGCAGCGGCGTTGTTGGAGGGTGCTCTGTGCTGTTGAAATGCGAAGTGACCCTTAGGGCATGTCGTCTTGACCCTCGGGTTGATGTGGCTGTCCAGGAACCCCTCGTGGGCCAGCCTGTTATTCATTTATTCGACATTGACGAAGATGATGGGACATTTTTGTCCATCAGACCCCCGCACTTTCTTCGATTGCCGCGCTGAAATGCTGCTCCGTTCCCATATCGCGTTCGAAACGGTCTGAGGATATTTTCTAAGGAATTCCCGAGTCGAAATAAACCTTTACCTGCTAAACCATTCATCGAAAAACGCCGCATCGCGCTGCAGCTCGAGCCTCGTTCAAGTCGCACCCGGCCGCCGCGCGCAGGCATTCAGCGACAAGGCGCATCTTCGCCCATCTACCCATCACTGAAAACGATTTCAAGGTCATATTTACACGACCTCTGGCTGAGCAATCAACGAGGGGTCATGTCTGTGATGATTGGCTGAATGTCCAATAATCACAGCGCGCGTTACACGGCGTCCAAAAGAAGCGCCAGGACTTTCCGGACACCCTGTACATTAGTAAGGGCTCATAATACCAACAAAATACCAAACACATTAGTATTGAAATACCAAATACCAAGTTGGTATCGGTTTGGTATTGGTATACCAAAAAGTTGGTATCCGATTGACATCTCTAATACAACTTATCATCGGGATACTAGGGGGGTGCGTGGGGGGGGGGGGATTGCGCCCTGGCCAATAGCTCGGGATCGGCTGATCGGAACCAGGCTTGCAAGGAGGCGTTGGAAAGCCTTCGAGTAGACAAGCCTTTAGTAATGTAAACTATCATCGGGATATACTAGGGGGGGGGGGGGGGGGAGAGATTGCGCCTTGACCGATAGCTCGGAAACGGCTAATCGGAGCCAGGCTTGCAAGGCGGGGTTTGAAAACGTGCGAGTAGACAAGCCTTTAGTAATGCAAACTTTCATCGGGATACTAGGGGGTGCGTGGGGGTACGAATCTAGCGACTTTTCCCTAACGGGTGGCAGCATGTGAGACGCCTGCTATAAGAATACCGAAATTTCCGGGAGAACGGATATGGGTTTTGTGAAGAAAAAACAAGTCGACATGATATAGCTCGGTCAATAATTTAATAACCATAACATTTTTTTCTCATCACGACGCATCGTTTCGGGGTCATCAATAACATTTAAGATGACCTCGAAAGGTCAAATTGAATATTTATAATGTAACCTCAGGTCAAGGTCACGACCTGACCCAAAAAGGCCATGTTGCATATCAATTGATTAGTCTTGACGACATAAACACAATGAATTTTTCCCTGGAACCTGTATCTCGCTTCAATCCTGTATCTCGGTGGCGGCCCCGGTAGCTCAGTTGCGCTTGGAGTTTTTTGCTTCCGCATCTCGCAACTCCGCAACTGTTTTGGGCCCGGTAGCCGATACTCCGCTACCAAGAGGGTAGGTAGTCCGCAAGTTGTGGAGTTGCGAAGTGCGAACGTAAGCTGCGCAATGCCCAGTTCTGCCTGAAGTTCAGGTCAGGTCATTGACCTTTGATGACCTCGGTTACTTTTTCGAGCTTTACGTGTTTTACAGGTTGGACCCATCTGCCGTTTGGCTCCAGATCGCGCTAGAGTTTTGCGGAAAAAACGAGCATGTTGCCGGTGACGAGAGGAAGCCGACGATACCCAATTTTAAGGTCCTAGGTCATTGGTTGACCACCTTCCAGGTCAGGTCAATGACCCAATGGTCAGTAAAATTGGGACCTGCTAGAACCTCGTACAGTGAAGCTGTTTTTTTTTTGGGGGGGGGGGGGTGCTGACACCAAATTTCATGCTAGTTTTGATCACATATGATGTCTTCATGCATTTAGACCAGGTCAGGTCAGGTCAACCATTAGGCGTCCTGCCGGCTATCCATAGTAGGTGTCAACTACTACTGACGGCGTCGTAACATGTTACGAAGGCACTAAAACTACTTCTTAAATGTTCAAATGGATGCTAAATTCGAAATCAGCCCGAAAAAACTACCATAGAAACATGTATAACTCGGAAAAGTGACTCGAGGTCATCGACATCATACGTCAATGACCTGACCTGACCTTCAGGTGACCTTGACACCCACCGTAATGCATGGGACGAGCATCATTTCACATGTTTGGAGGTTTATAATCGCAAAAAGACAGAAACGCGCGGATAATGAGAGCTGACATACGCTTAATCGCGATTGCGGCCAAACATGGTCACAGGTCAAAGGTCATTTGGGTCAAGCTCATGAAATTTTCAGAGTAGTTATACAATTGATCAACTCGAGGGTACTGAAAGTTTCGTCGCGATCGGCCGCTTTTTCCGTGAGTTATTCGTGAAAAACCATGGGGGGGGGTCCATCCGACCCCCTACACATACGAGGGTTAATATGCATTGAGCCACCAAAAAGCATCCGCCGATTTCGCTCTTTTTGCTCTTTTTCCACGTTTCAAGACGAATGGCATCATTTGAGGGGGCGCAAGCGCGAAAAAAAAAATACAAATTGAAATTTTGTATGAAAATAAGGACCACCCTACTACACGTATGCAATAGATTGAGTGTAACTGGTGATGGGGAGAGATCAGTGTATGTATTTTCTGTTCTCTCAGAGTCATGCCGTCTGAGTCGTCCAGGAAGAGGCAGGCCGCCAAGAAGGAGGCTGCCAAGAAGAAGGGCGCTCCCAAAGGCAAGAAGCCCGAGGCGGCCGCGGCCCCCGAAACCAACGGAGACGCCAACGGCACCAATGGTGCTGTCAATGGTGGTGCCAACGGGGAGCCCCGCGAAATGACTGAGGAGGGTGAGCGAACGAAAATATTGTGTCTGTATGAAAACACTGTTAGGTATATGAACATCATTTATTCATTTCACTCAGTGCTGACTGCTGTGACAATATGATATTGCTCATGCTTGGTCACATGTTTTACAACACATGTTCAGGCGTGTCTACACTCTACATGTTCGAATTTCATTCTTGGCCTTGTTTAACCCCTCTGCCTGTCTGGGCTGGTCACTGGAGTCTGATGTCTCTGGAACTGTTCTGTGTAATGCTGAACCATCCACTTCCCTCGCCTCCTAAATCAGCGTCCCGTGTCCTGGCTCTGCTGAGCTGCCTGGTGCCATCCACCAGAGACCTTACCCAAATCTATCGGTCTCAAAACTCCCTCGCTCAGATGACCTGCCTTCTCATACCCCTCAGAGACTTTACCCGAATCCATCTCCCTCCACATCCCGCTCCGGCAGCTGACTCGCCCTCCGCCGTCCCCCAGAGAAGCTGTGCGCCCAGCTGGACCGCGAGCTGGCGATGGCCGCCGAGGCACGCGCCTGTACCGGCGTGCTGGGCGTACACCCGCGCAGTCGTGACATCAAGGTGTCCGGCCTGTCGATGAGCTTCTATGGCTCGGAGCTGCTCCAGGATACGCATCTGGAGCTGAACTGCGGCCGCCGCTACGGTCTGATCGGCGCCAACGGCAGCGGTGAGTGGAGGACGGCTCCGCCGCGGCGGTTCTGCCCAACTGGGTCCTGGTACCGACCGGGTACCTACCGGCCCCACCCCGTGTGTCTCTAGGTCCTCATTACACCGCTCGAATATGCTGGCAGTCACGGCATGTGCACTGTGCAGGAGTAATAGCATAGATCATAAAAACTGCAGTGGATGTTATTTTTTCCATATTTTATATTCAATTCAGGCGTTTCGGAACAGTAGTTTGATAATAGACGGACGGGCAGTAACAAAGCTGCCGGTGTAGGGTGCGCCTCAAATGTTTTTATTCACCCACTCCCTAATTCCTATTACAGTAATTGCTATTCAGTATGTTTTTGTTTTGTTTTTTGCTCGAACTACTGGCCAGAGATAAGATCAGCCCTAGGATATCTCGTCTCTTATCTCAGGATCGCTGAGTCACCTCTCCTTTTGCATCAATAATTTCACCTGAGGAGCCGAGAGGACGGTGGTCGCGCTGTGCGGGCGGTGCGCGGGAATGGCGCGGGGGTTTCCGCGCGCCGCCCGGCCGCCGGCCGTGACCTTGGGCGGCTGCCGGCGGCCGGTGACGTGGCCGTGGTGCGCCCGGCGCCGGCGGTACAGTCATCGCGCTGCCGCCGGGCACGAGGCGCGAACTCAGTATCGAAAACGCGCGAAACGCGGGGCGATGGGACAGGCCGGGCGCGAATGTCACTTCTGCGGTGACATTTAACTCGGCCGGCTAATGGCTGGTGCTACTAATGCATCATGATATTGTTTGACTGACTGTTCCGTGCGGAAAGAATGAACGCGCATAAATCAGGACGCTTCCAGTACTTTTCCATTCGGCCAACTTTCGGGGCTCTACGCAAGATTGCCATAGCGACGTGTCAACACTCGCACTTGTGATTATGTAGCGATATTGATATACGGCCAGGGCTGCAGGCGACATTTATTGATCCTTGCTGAAAATGCGGCGCCAACCCGCTTAGTTACATGTGATTTAATTGTTTTGTTTGCTTCCTGTGGCTGTAATTAGATGAAGTTGAGAACGATCAATATTTCACATTGTGATAAGATCTCCTTATGGGCTAGGACGAGCTGCTAGCTACCTACGTTGTTGTGACGCTAAAACACACTGCCGTGTGTCTTTATGTTCTTATTGTAAACTTGACACTTGACCCGAAATGCCGTGGACATGCGGAGGTCATACGAAATAAATGATGATGATGTTGATGATGCTCGATGGTGCAGTTAACGTTTCCTTCCTATCCTCCAGGCAAATCGTCTCTTCTGCACGCTATCGCCAACCGGGAGATCCCGGTGCAGGACATGATCGACGTGTTCCTGCTGGCGCGCGAGATGCCCGCCTCGGAGAAGACGGCCCTCCAGTGTGTCATGGAGGTCGACCAGGAGCGCGTGCGCCTGGAGAAGCTGGCCGAGGAGCTGGCCCACAGCGCCGACGACGCCGACCAGGAGGAGCTGATGGATGTCTACGAGCGGCTGGACGACCTCGGCGCCGACACGGCAGAGGCCAAGGCCGGCTACATCCTGCACGGACTCGGCTTCACAACCGTGAGTCGGGCGAGGGCGGTAACGGAGCAGCAGGGTGGTGGGGGCGAGGTCCATCCATAGCAATGATTAGCCGCATAACTGCGGTTTTACTGTCTCTTCCTTTACTCCAATGGTTGGAAACTCGGGTATCTGACACATTATCGCTCTACTTTGTTATGAATATCGTAATTCAATGTCCTTTTTTCTTTCTTTTTTGAGAACTTTTGGTCACGTTTGATTGATCTGGCTCGCATGCTGTTATGGCGCAATACCTACTAATAAAACAACAAACAAACAACACTGCTAACCACTCCCTCGCCACCCCACCCCTCGTCCTCTCCCGCAGGAGATGCAGCACCGCCAGTGTAAGGACTTCTCCGGAGGCTGGCGGATGCGCGTGGCTCTGGCCCGCGCGCTGTTCGTGCGCCCCCATCTGCTGATGTTGGACGAGCCAACCAACCACCTGGACCTGAACGCCTGCGTGTGGCTCGAGGAGGAGCTGAAGACGTACAAACGCATCCTGGTCGTCATCAGCCACTCACAGGACTTCCTCAACGGTTAGTGGGATCTTGTCGGGTCTGACGCCTCACAAGATGATACACCAGTATAACGCCTTTTGGGGCGACTAACGGAGCGAGCGAGAGGGTGGGCCTTGCACGTGCGAAATTTCGAGGGGGTACCTCCAACTGACTTGTGCACGGCACCCTACTAACCGGTCTCTAGCGATGTGCCAAATTTGAGCACAATTGGCCCAGCCGTTCTCGAGATCTGGAAGCGGCACCCTGCACGTGCGCACGTGCAAAATGGGTCCCAACTGACTTGTGCACGGCACCCTACTAACTGGTCCCTAACCGTGTACCAAATTTGAGCGCAATCGGTCCAGCCGTTCTCGAGATCTGGAAACGACCCCTGCACGTGCGCACGTGCAGCAGCACCCCAACTCTGGCACATGGATATGCATTGCCTAGCGGGTGCCTACCTACATGCCAACTTTCAGCGCAATCGGCCCAGTAGTTACCGAGATATTGCAACAATTACAAAACTGACACCTCTTCGTTTTGCACGTGGCACGTGCATAAGGGGTCACCCACATGCATCGGGAATAGTCCAATACTTGGTAGAAGGAATGAAGCTACCCTACAAAAATTACCGCATGTAAATCGGTCAAGTGGTTGCTGAGATATAAGCGTCGCAGAATCGTGACCACGGCCGGCCGGCCGCTCATACTCAGAAATTTCCGTTATTCTACGTAAGACTCCGCTCGCTTCGCTCGCTCCGTAACAATATGCATAGGCAACAGTGGAGCTGTAGTTTGTTCCAGTGTTGCCATGCCGCTGTGCGTATTTATCTCTGGCGAGGCATGGCGACCTAACGCGACCTTTTTTCTGTGTTCACACCAGGCGTGTGCAGCAACATCATCCACCTGGACCAGAAGAAGCTGCAGTTCTACACGGGTAACTACGACATGTTTGTGCAGACGCGCTGTGAGCTGCTCGAGAACCAGATGAAGCAGTACAAGTGGGAACAGGACCAGATCGCCAACATGAAGGTGGGCTGGTCGGGAATGAGTAAGGGATCAGTGGGTGGTAGAAACGACCAGACCGTTAACTGGAGGAACGGGGGCGGTAGTTGATGCTGATAGACTGTAGACGGCTTGTAGGAGTGGTAGATGGTTTGCAAAAAAAAAAAATTATCACGATGTCGCTTGATTTTGACTGTCTTAATGTACATATTTTGAATCACCTCCAATATTATCTACATATTTTGAATCACCTACAATATTATCATTTGTCTCTATTGTTTGCAACAGCCAGCATTGCGCCGATCGTGAGCGTGCAGCGCGGACCATTGTTGTGCACGACGGAGCGCAACCAATTGTGGTTCCGCTTGTTGTGTTGTGCTCTAATGCACCGAACAATTGTCCGGCCACCCGTCTGACGAACCTCTCCCGTCGTCAGAACTACATCGCCCGGTTCGGTCACGGCTCAGCCAAGCTGGCGCGTCAGGCCCAGTCCAAGGAGAAGACCCTGCAGAAGATGGTGGACAAGGGCCTGACGGAGCGCGTCACGTCCGACCGCCAGCTCTCCTTCTACTTTTTCGACTGCGGCACCATCCCGCCGCCCGTCATCATGGTGCAGGTCGGTCCGGGGCGAATGCTATCGTATCAGCTCAGCTCGGAGCGGAAACGATTCGGGTCGGAGCGCAAACGGTTGTAGTCTGGTCGGTCCGATGGTCCACTATTCCGGTCGGTCCGTTGGTCTGCTATTCCGGTCTGTCCGTTAGTCCGGTTACATTCGGTTCGTTGGCATCTCCGTCAAAATTTCGGGTCGATATTGGTAGATGTCGCCGGCCATTATATATTTACAATACCCGCGTCGACCTTCCGGGTGCTGCCGGTCCACCCGAGAACCTCGCCGCAGAAATGGAAGGGTGTCATAACTGGCGCCCTCTGTGGGTTCGCATGACAGCCGACTAACCGATACGGTTGGATAGTCTCAGTATGGGGGCGCTGTCGGAGCGGCTAGATGTTGATACGATGACTGCGGCACTGAGCTGACACAGACACAGACACAGAGCACGATGATGATTAATTGGTTTCGCCCAGCTACTGGGCCATATCACGTCCTTCATGGTTCATTTAGGCCGGGAGTGGAAGAATAGACAATTGGAAGGCGAGAGGCATTGATAAATCCGAAAAGTACACGTCAGAAAATCAGAATTATCCTATAAGATGTCATCATAGACACTAGGACAGGACCGGTGGGTACTTTCTCAGCAAAAGTACGCTTCGCCTGCAGCCTCGGGCATTTTATCAGCACATACCGAACAGTTTTAGGGGAGTTACACCGGGGACAGGACGTACTGGGATCGCCACCCTAAAGGTAACCGCGTGTAATTCCATATCCCGGTGTTTAGTGCGGAGTCGGCAGAGCACTACCCACCTGACACTGGTCCCTCGGCACAGCCGACTGCTAAGGCACTAATCTTGGTTTGGTTGGAAGCAGTTTGTTGCCATTATTCTCACTGCAAGCTCGCCCGCCGCGACCCAGGAATGAGGGGTAATTTTCATGTGTGGCAGAAAGTCACTGGCAGGGCGAGGAGCCCGACGTTTTGCGAGTATAACGTTATGGGTGCAAAATGACAATTGAAGACTGTGGGCCATAAACTCCTAATAAACAAACTGGGAAAACGACGGCCGCAAGGCTGCTGGGTACTCCGTCTTGCGGCCGAATCCGCCCGCTCGTTTCCCGTTATGCCAATATGGCTGGGGAATGTGAGGATGCAGCCGTAACGGGACTCGTTACCGTAAACGTCTCATGTATGTGACGCGGAGTTCAGTTCTCGTCATCAGGGGTCAGATGTAGGTCAGGTGTAGATAAAATTGTTACAGTGACTGTAAGCAGCTGAGCGAGTCAGATAAGATAAGATGCGAACGACCCGCGTCCCGCATGGGCCTCTACAAAGCAAAGCACCTTGATAATGAATAACAAGTTCAGATGTAAACATATGTGCTGCTTTTTAGCCGAACATTTGTTTTATGCTCAGTCTAGCCTCTACAAAACAAAGCACCTTGACTATGATAAGCTCAGATGTAAATAGATGTGCTGTTTTTAGCCGAACGTCAGTTTTATGCTCAGTCTATTGAGACGCTGCCTGCGTTTTCACAAATGCATGAGCGATATGCAAGACGTCGTGGTGAAAACAACGTTCGTTGTATTTGTTTCATCCACTTTTGGCATTACCAAAACATTAATTTGGTCCGTGTTTATGTCTTTTTAACTTCATTTTCTTTTCATGACGACGATTGCTGACGCATTCGAATCTGTATTTGTTTCCAGAATGTGAGCTTCAAGTACTCTGAGGCGCAGGACTACATCTACAAGAACCTGGAGTTCGGCATTGACCTGGACACGCGGCTGGCTCTGGTGGGACCTAACGGAGCCGGCAAGTCGACCCTGCTTAAACTGCTCTACGGAGAGGTGAGGTGGTGGACCCGTGAGTGATACAGTGTCTGTGTGCAGCTGCGCCGGAGCGAAGTATTTAGCAGTTACGTTGAGTGTTGGTAATGTCGGTAACCTGTCTGAAAAGATCCGTCGGTGATGTCATTGGAAAGTTTAATGCTTGAGAGCAAACTTTAAGGACAGCCGTTCATCCTCACAGTTTTGCAATCGTACCCCGATGTTGTGTTGCTTTTAAGTCGATCGTTAAGCTTATGTTCAGTTTATTGAAACGCTGCGTTTATTGAAACGTTCTGTCATGGGCTTAGTTTCAAACATTTCCTAGAATCCGCCGCTCCCGCAGTTGTTTGTCATCCGCCGTGTCCCTGCTGCAGCGTTATCTGACCTCCCACCTCCCGTCTGTCAGCTCTCCCCGACCAGCGGTATGATCCGCAAGAACATGCACGTGCGTATCGCGCGCTACCACCAGCACCTGCACGAGCTGCTCGACCTCAACCTGACGCCGCTCGAGTACATGATGAAGGAGTTCCCCGAGATCAAGGAGAAGGAGGAGATGCGCAAGGTCATCGGCCGCTACGGCCTCACCGGCAAACAGCAGGTCAGCGGCCAGTCATGGCGGCAGAGGGACTCATCTGTGTATGGAGATGAACTGATAGTGAGACTGTCTTATCAAGTTACTCCGGTCCGCGTCTATTTTACCCTGATTGTGGCCATGATGCTACCGATAAAGAGATCAGACGTAGAAAAACTTCATGTGTTCTTCGTGTGTCAATAGGAGCTGATACGAATGCTCTTAGCTGTAAGATGATTCATCCCTCGATTGTGTGACACTTCTTTCATGACTTTTCAAACATTTGAAGCCTGACTCGTTTTCCGCTAACCACGCAGTATATGCGCCGTCGTCAGTGCCAGGTCTGCCCCTCTGACCTCCCTTCCTCCCTCCGCGGTCAGGTGTGTCCGATCCGCGAGCTCTAAGCTCGTCCCTACTGACCCTCCTCGTCTCCGTGGCCAGGTGTGTCCGATCCGCCAGCTCTCTGACGGCCAGCGGTGTCGAGTCGTGTTCGCCTGGCTGGCCTGGCAGAACCCCCACCTGCTCTTCCTGGACGAACCTACTAACCATCTGGACATGGAGACCATCGACTCACTGGCCGAGGCCATCAACAACTTCGGCGGCGGCCTCATCCTCGTCAGCCACGACTTCCGACTCATCAGTCAGGTGGGTGTGGAGCCGGCCGCGCCGAGCCGCGCTCCAGAGACCGGCTGTCAGAGCGGAGAGCAGCTGAGCTGGCTTGGCAGGGGGATGAGGATGAGTTAGCGTGGTTAGTTGTGGGTCCTCAATGGTGCTTAGTTTATGATCGGTGACGTGGTGTAGCGGTGTGCAGGTATTTGAGGTATGCCGTATGTGGCTGATGACTGTATGTACACTTATGTGAGCCGTGTAGGTATGCAGATAGTTGTGCGCTGATTATCGCCTGATAAGATAGGGACGGTATATCACGGTCCCTAGATATTTGATACGGGACTTAGCTGCAAATGCGTCACTTAATCCGGCCCAAATGAGCTATGTTAGATATTTTTGACAATTTTATTTGCTGAACAGTTACTGTATATGAATATTGTGAACTGATCAGTTACATAAACACAGACCGGCTGCTTCTAACGAATTCATCAGCGCTGTTGTGTGTGTGTGCACAGTGTGCAGTGTGGGTCGCTGCTGTTCAGTGCTGCGGTAATCGCTCGTGTACTAACCGCTCTGTCGCCGGCCTGTCCTGACCGATCTGTCTGTGTACCTGCACTGACCAATCTGCCTCCTGCTTGCCCTGACCGATCTGTCCGTGTACCTGCACTGACCAATCTACCTCCTGCCTGCCCTGACCGATCTGTCGTTCTGCGCCAGGTGGCGGAAGAGATCTGGATCTGCGAGAAACAGACGGTCACCAAGTGGCAGGGCGACATCATCGCCTACAAGGAGATGCTCAAGGAGCAGGTGATGAAGCGGAACGCCAAGGCCAAGAAAAAGATCAACTGGTAACACCTCTAGGCGGCTAGGCAATTTTCCAATGGGTCGGCGTCCTTCCAGGCGGCGCGGCGCGGCGTCTGGCCGGGTGGCCAGCTCGCCAGCCGAGTCCTCAGTCATACTGTGATGGTTCGTGCGCTGGTGAATGTCTCGCGTCTCGTGGTGCACGACGCCGCCTGCCCGACCGACAATAGACCAGATCTCCGACTGTGAAGGCGCCGCCGCGCGCCGGCGGCCCGGCCCGGCCCGTCGGTCGGTGCACGGCCGGTGTGCCCTCTGTGAAGGCGCGGCGGCCGGCCGGCGGGGCCCGGAGCGCCGCTCCCCGCCGACACCACCACCGCTGCTGCTGCTGCTGCTGTTGTTCCCGCTGCTGTCCCCTCAGGACAGGACACCCCGGCACACCCTCCCGCCAGCTGTGCATAGACTGGCAGTGACCGGGGCTTTCCACTGGCTTGTTGCCTCGCAGCATACATAATGACATTTTAACCGTATGTGGTTTTGTTTTTACTCGGACTGATCAAAAGTAATATATAATAAATTTCCTAGTTTTAGCTGGTGAGTGATGTGCCCAGTTGGAGGAGCCGGCGCCGCGGACCATAATATGACCACAGACTGAATATACGATCGTCTCGGGCGACCACGGACTCGGCGGCTTTGTTCGACGGGGCATCCTGGTGGTGCCAGCTAGCTGCGTCCGCCTTCGATAACATTGGAAACGCCGGGTCTCGAAAACCACCTTCTTCACAGCCATCGTCTTCTAGTCTGATGTCGCGCGAAGGACCGTTATCCTGTTGGGAAATTCTTGACATGCTCTGACGGATTTGGTTTCGGAACACGTCAGTCGTGTCGAAGGTCGTCATTTTATCCGTGCTCGCGCTATCGAGGAAAATGGTGCGCTCATAACTGTAAACTATCGACTATCGTAGCCCATAAGACTGGTCGCAAAAAGTGGCGATCGGAAATATGAAGGAATGGGACGGAAATGGAAAGCACACCTTTTGCGTGCTGTTTTCCAGACGTCGATTGGCGTCAATCCTGCTGATGGGAACTGGGAGGCTGACTTTGGATGAGGGTGGGGTTGAGTCGGGACATATTTTCGCATTGAAAGCAAGATTGGGAAGGATTATAGACAACTTTGGTTACGCTTCAAATAATTTTCCGGCTTGGAATAAAAAACTGCAGTGTATGAATATGTCGGAAATCGGAATGTCTGTCGATTTTTGGGGTGCCATAACCAAAGACGAACTCAACCGTTTGCGAAGGCTACGCGTCTGAGACGAACGTGGCGAGGTCCGCCCACAAATTTGCCTCGGGCATTCGGCAAGTTAGTTCCTGCATGATGTGTGCAACTTCGGAATTGTATATTATTTAGATTTATTTCAATATCATACCTTTCGACGCTATCCCCAAGCTTTTCACTGTATTCACGGTAACTGGTAAGTGTTGAACGGTTATTTCTACCGATTTTAATTTCGGCCGTAGCTCATGTTTTCCTGTCATTTGTCAACAATTATTTCAGTCTATGCTTAACTGGTGATTTTTATGCCAGTAATTTCAATAAGTTCCTTTATGATGAAAGTCATTATTTATCTGGTAAAAGAGTGCTAAAAGAACTGTGTATTTTTATGCATAGTGTATTAACACTGAATCGAATTCACTAATGCTTACACTTACAACATGCGAGAATCTAGAAGGGCACTTGGCCTTTAGGACTCTTTCTTATTGAGCTCCCAATCAGTGGCTCTGCTTCAGTCATTAATGTGGAGTGTGTAGTGAAGGTGGACCCGTGAGTGTCGAGCTTATGCTAGATGAAAGCATACAATTATATTTCACTTGAAGTCCTATGCAGTTCTGTTATTTTCTTCATTATATATCTTTCAGAAATATGATGATACTTATAAGCAATGAATCAATTGGTATGGCATGACACTACTATGTCAAACAATCACAATACAGTATTTGGAAGGTACCTACCTACTTCATTAAGTCTCCAGATGTTTGATGGGTACCTACCTTTCATTTATGGGCTGATTATGAACTTTCTGCTCACAATATCCCTGAAACCACAACAAAGAACCTTGCATTTTAACCATTGGCTTGGATTATTGCTTTTCAAGTTAAACATGATTGTTTCCAACAGTTGTTGCTGCAAAGTATGTACCTAGATACCTAAAATGTTTTCCTTGAGGTTTGAAGTTTAATTCATTCAAGGATTAGTGCCTGCAGTCATATTACTATTAACCCACATAATGACTAGGTATTTCTCTTTCATTTATGTGCATCAAATTAGTGCTTTACTTGGCTGATAGAGCTTTGATGCACTGTTGTTTGGTGTAGCTTGTTATTTGGCACCACTTGCATGTCTGCTTTTGTAGTGATGTGCTCTCTTCCATTTCATAGCAGCTGACTGTCCATGCACCGGGGCACTTCACCAATGGCCACTGATCTCTTGGCAACTGTTTTGTCGGATATTAAGTTTTCCACTGCAAATGGCTCAGAAGTGTGCATGAGGAAGGATGAGCAGGTACTGATTCTGGAAAAGACAAACAGCAGATGGTGGAAGGTAAGTCGGAACTGTTTGTGCTGTCATTGCTCTCTGGTATTTCTGACTGCTTTTTATCATAATTTTGCATTCATCATTGATGTGTGTATCTTCTTCTGTTAGCCATCAGCTCTTAGATTTGTTACCTACCATTGTTATTGCTTTCAAAATATTAAGCTTGCTTAGTACCTAAGTTCGAAGAGCTGTTGTGAGGCTTACAAATGCTGCTTGAACCAGCTTTCAGGCATGCAACACTCAGCAGTTGTCCTAGAAGGCATGTTATTCACAATCCCACTTGCAGTCACTGTATTTGTGGCCCTGTATCAGCTGACCCACCTTGACCTGGTCTGGTCATTCCCTCAGGTGGTCAGAAGTGGTCAGGGACAGCCGTTCTATGCTCCGTCGGACGTGCTGCAGGAGCGGGCGGTGCCGCGTGTGCGACTCCGTTCCGGTACCGGCAGCGTCCGAGACCGCAGACGGTGGGTGGGCTGCGGATAATTTCTGACATCTGTTGAAAGATGATCGTTGAATGCTATGGGTGTGCTGTTTCGGTCGTTTGTTCGAGGTCCCGATCTCATCGTTGATGGATTTTTAGCGCTAGTACGTTATTCTTCCCAAGGCAACAAGCTTGCTTAGCTCGGCGGCTCTTTTCAGTGGGCATTTGACTCTGCCGAACCCAGACCAGATACTGTCCCCCCCCCCCCACCCCGCAAAAATGTGTGAATGCGCTGCACGATTAACCTAACTAACCGATGGAATGACTGATCCTTTGGCTTATTCTTAAATGGGAAGGTGTAGTGGTCAGTCAAGCTACATTTAGCCTTGACTTCTTTGCTTCTCTTTTAAGCCATATACCATACTAACAAGGGCCTTACCGCGCTTATTCCAGCTTTGATTTTGTTTTCTTCATTCTCCTAGCAAAAAAAAAAGGCAGTTTGTCACCCATCAACCAGCTGCAGTGTTGTTAGATTATAACGATGCACACTTAAACCCTGACTCGCTACCTCACCAGACTATCTGACCGTGTCGGTGTCCCGCTGCAGCGCCCCGCTGTCGGCAGTGGACGCGGAGCGGCACATCAGCGGCCATGAGGACGCGGTCGGCGCCGGCTGGGACTGGCGCGGTGCCGCCGCCGCCGGCAGCCCGGTGGCCCGCAGCAGCTCCATGGACGATGTGCTGGCCGAGTCGCCGTCGCGCGCCGGCCACACCTGGCACCGGCGGCAGTCGTGGGCGCCCGAGCGGCGCTCCGAGGGCCGGCAGGCGGCCGGCGGCGCACTGCCAGCGCCGGCAGCACTCCCGGAGCCCTCCCACCGCCGGTCGCACTCCTACCAGCTGGAGATGAGCCGCGCGCACGGCTCCGACCAGAGCATCGGCAGCACCGGCCGGCCGCGGCCCGCCGCCGGCAGTGACACGTGGGAGCGCAAAGGGCCGCCGCCGGCACCGCCGGGCGCGAGCAGCACGTGGGAGCGGGGCGCCACGGGCGGCTCGCGCGCCCCGCACGGCACCAGTAACACGTGGGAGCGAGGTGGCCGGGTGGACCCGCAGTTCGCGCAGCCCGAGCCCAGCTGGGAGAGGAAGGGCACCAGCGGGCCGATCGTGCCGCAGAGCGGAGCCGGCGTCTGGGAGCCCGCGCTTGATGGCTCCGCGCCTCCTCCGTACGGCGGCAGTAGCACCTGGGAGCGCGGCAAGGACAGCGTGCGCGTGCGCGGACCCATGGCCATGTCGTGGCAGACGGAGCGGAAGCAGGCGCCGGTGCCGCCGCCGCGCACCCGACACGCGCTGCAGGGGATGGCGGCCGGCGTCAGCGGTCCCTCAGGAGCGGCAGAGCCGGCCGGTCTGTCCACCGGTCGCGGTATCATCAACCAGTCGGCGCCGAGCCTGGCGTTTGACGCCATCGACGCTCGCCGGCCGTCACCGAGCTCACTGGCGGCGCGCCGGCCGTCACCGAGCTCGCTTTCCGACCTGCGCGCGCAGCGACCCGACCTGTCCGACGGCCACAACGAGGGCTACCGGCGCACGGCCGAGCGGCTGGCCGGCCGCAGTGAGAGCCCGCGGCCACCGCCGGCCGCCGCCGACCGGACCGAGGGTATCTGGATGCCGGCGAGGCTGGCGGAGCGGCCGCCGGTCAGGACGGAGGAGACTGCGGCAGGGACGGGCACGGGGAGACCTGCCGTACCGCCCCGGCCCAGCAGGAGGCCCGCAGCCGAACAGCAACAACAGCCCGTCCACGCTCTGGTGAGTATGAGCTGCGGACTCTTAGCTGCGTGCATACTGTTTGGAGTCTTTTTTGAAGACATTCACGGTTGCTGCTATTGTTGGACCGTTTGGTCTCACGTATGCTCCCATTCTATCCGGCTTACTTTCGTTTATGACAATTCTACATGGGTTCATTGATGAGCTAAGCGATATCGATTGCCTTTAGTTTTGATTTTCCTTAGCTGACGACAAACGAAACGGATGCCACGGTGAAGGCGATAAAGCAAAGATTACGAATCGAATAATATCATTGACTTTATTCTGAACTCTGAACTACATAGACATTGATCGAGGAGCGACATTGTGTCATAGGATCCCTCTTTTTCATTTGGTCAATTTTTGTACTTAAAATGTCAATGTCTATTGCACAACATGCTTGTAGTTGACTCATTACCCAAACGCTAAAGCTTTGCCACAGGTCTCACCCCGTACCTAACCGACCTTCCGTGCCCGCGGCATCGTTCCCAGGTGGACCGGTCGGCGGCGCCGCCCGTGCCACACATCCTGGATACGCCTCGCCGGCAGCTGACGGGCAGCTGGGCAGAGTACGACCTGCCCGACGGCACCAGCTACTTCTACAACGTCGAGACGGGCGTGTCCTCCTGGCAGCCGCCGCCCCCGCCGCCGCCGCAGCGGCCGGTGGCGCCGACCCAGAGCAATGACGAGCTGTCGGTGGGTGCCGGGGGGGGGGAGGGGGGGCTGGGTGGAAGGGGGGCAGGATGTGGTTGTTGGCTGTGGCCGGGCCGACCTGGCGATCAGTGCCTGTTTATCGGCCGTGTCCGGTACCGGTAGCCGTTTGATCGGCCGGGTACGGGGCGATGCTGCCGGAATCGAACGATTAGGGATGGAAGATAAATATGGATAGTGCTATTAAAATGTGGGGACAGCGTCTGATGTCTAAAAGATTCTGCGAACACAAATTTGCCGCCTGCCCTCGTTGCTTGGACTGTAGCCTACTTTCCGAACTTTCTATGTCTTATGTTAAAGTGCTGCTTTCATTTATATCTAGCAGGAGCTTGTCAGAAACTTCAATTGCACTATGTCCGTTTTGTGTCTCTCACATTCCGCAACTATTGGATTGCATCGTTACAGCCATCAGCCCCTAATATCTTAACTCTCCTTCCGCTGAGCTTACCCTGCTCATCCCTCCCTCAGTGGTGTGAGAGTCTACTCGGAGTCGGAGTCATGCTCGGCAGCTCGGACTCTCCGCTCTACTGACTACACTCCCTCTCCATCAGTCGTGTGAGAGTCTGTACTCGGAGTCGGAGTCATGCTCGGCAGCTCCGACTCTCCGCTCTACTGACTACACTCCCTCTCCCTCAGTCGTGTGAGAGTCTGTACTCGGAGTCAGAGTCGTGCTCCGACTCGCCGCTGTGCTCACCGGTATTGGAGCCGGCGGCGGGCGCTAACGTTCCGCTGCCGGACGGATGGCGCCGGCGGCGAGACACCAGCGGGCAGATCTGCTTCGTCCGAGACACCTCGCCCACCAGGGTAGGAGCGGGTGGGGATATTGGCGGATGTACTAGGAACGGAAGAGAAAAGGGGCAACGCTTATTGAATATAAATGAACCACCTTTCGCTACCTCTTGATTTTCCTTATGCATCTTTTAGGATTTCTTGAATTAAACTCGCATAAGTATTATCATTCGTGAAGTTTTATACATGACTAATTACAAGTTAGGAATCATACGTTAGGTCATCAAGCTCTGTCTCAGGTAGCCGCTCTGTCGTATAACTGTCATGTCTGGCCGCAGTGAGCGCCGTCTGTGACCTCATATCCCTCCCCGTCTTACCGCAGTGGTACAGCGACCTGAACGCAGACAACCACATCTACTTTTTCGCCGAGGGCAGCTCGGAGTCTCAGTGGGCGCTACCGCCGGCGCGGGGCCGTCCCGCCGCCCCTGCTCCAGCGGCCGCCAACACTGCTGGAACGACGGCTAATGAGTCGGTGGGTGTAACGTGGGTGGGATTGTCCTGTTCACGGCGCCTGGAGTGTTGCTTCAGGGACGCAATCGGAGCTAAGCTGTAATATACTGCGGCATAGTACGAAAATAGCGCAGGTAAGTGTAAATAGTAATTCATGGAAGCCGGGTTTGTAAGGAATTGCGTGGTAGATCAACAACTGACTCGTTGATGAATTCGATAGATCATTCCGTAAAGCTCTGCTCTAGAAACATGGAATTTCTTCGATAGATGGTGCGTCGTTCTTATGATGTTAATTCTCATTTTGGTATAGTAAATGGTTATCCTTTTCTCTTTTTGACTGGCTAGCGGCTGTTTCGCTCACTCCCTGTTCCGGTCTCTATCCGCAGGTCGGCACCAACTCCATCCGTTCGCGGCATCTGCCCGTTAAACCGCTGCCCTCACTGCCCGTCAAGGGTCCTCCGCCGCCGGCCAAGCCGCCCAAGCCGCCCAAACCGTCCGAGGGCGGGGGCGGGGGCGGCTGGCAGCCCTCGGACCTGGGTAGCGGGTGGCCACAGCTGCGCGCCGGCGAGGCGCCGCTGCTGGTCATAAGACAGGTGAGCAGACAATTACAGGATGTGGCTATATATTTTTATGCTTAAGAGAAAACAAATTTTGATATGTGTTTGCGTCCACTGCAGCTGTTTCAGTCGAGCGCCGGCCTCTGGTATCACTTCAGTGACTGTCTCTCCAGTCCATCTAACTGGTATCTGGTATCTCCCCAGTCCCCAGTCCAGCTAACCCCCGCGCTCCCTCTCAGGGCACTCTCAGCTGTCGGATCAAGCTCAGCCGACGGAAGGGCGGCGGTAACAACAGCGCCAGCGTCAAGCAGGTGAAGCTGTGGCGACACTGGGCGCCCTGTCACCTGGCGCTCACCGACAGCTACCTGCTGCTCTTCAACGACACCAACGACCCGGCCAGCATCGTGAGTGGCAGAGTGGCGAGTTCTCCGGCCGCACGGACACGGGTGACGGGGTCGGGTGTGTGGGCTGATTTCTGCAGAATGTGGCGGCTCTTTGACCAACCGTGTCTGGGGATCTTAATCATCACTGCGTAGCTGTGGTTCAGCAGACGCTTAAGTTTTAATGTTTTGCGCCGAACAATCGTATTACGTCCCCATTGTTTGGGAACAGCTTTGATTATGTGTTTCCTTGGCATATCTTCTCTCTTGTAGATGAACAAGAATGGCTCAGACCGATGCTTTTCTCTTACCGGCTGTTACCATGCAAATTGGGCGTTTCCATTGTATGTTAGTAGTTACATAGCAAGACCGTGTCACCTGAGATGAGCTGCCGCCCAGCCGCGTCACTCATATGCCGTATGTTTGACACAATGAGCGACATAGCCTCTGACAGACTATTCCCGCACTGTCCCCAGGAGTGGGGCTCGCCCACGCACCTGCCGCTGGTCACCGTCCACCTGGCAGGAGCGGGCCTCATCGCCGACTCAGCCGCCTCGTCCAAGAAGAACGTCCTCCAGCTGACCACTCGGCATGGCATGCAGGTGCGTACACAGGAACCGGCCCCACCCGCGCCCCGCCTGGCCCACTGTTACAGTCAGTGGGCCTGACGGGACGGGAGCTGGTCTGGTCGTTCCGTCTGTGATCTGTGCAGGTGTGGTGGTGTACGAGTACGCGGCTTTTGTTAAACGACAAGAGACGGGTTGTTGGAGTGGCATACGATTTTACTGATTTTGAAACGAGCCTTGAGCTTTGTTGTAGCTAAGCCAGCTGAATATGTCCGAGGCATGTGCTCCCTACTTGTTTTAAATGATGTTACATGACAGGGTTTTGTTGTCACCGCCAATGATCCTTTTTTGGTGGGAAGTTTTGCGATAAATAAAGAATGACATCCTATCGCCTTTTCCAGGTGTTGCTCCGCGATGACAACACGACTACGATGAAGGTGTGGACGGACGCGCTGCACAGCGCCATCGCCGGCCTGCCCAGCGAGGTGAAGCCCCTGCTGCCGCCGATAGTGCCGCCCAAGCCGCAGCAGCTGCTGCAGGCGCAGCGGTCACCCACGATCAGACGAGCCATCGAGAGCCGGGCCCGCTCCGCCTCCGAGTCAGGTGAGGTGGTCACTGCCAGCTGGGCTGGAGGGAACTGAACAGGGATCTCATGGGTATCGGGGTCCAACCGGTGACCAAAGGGTTCTGCTGGTGATCAAGTATCATTCTAGTAGCTCGGAATCCACTATCGGCGAATGTAGCGCTGTACTGACTGACAGTGGATGGGATGGGCCTGGAAGTTGACCGTCGGAGCGGCACCTGTGCCTGTGGCCTAGAGAGCAAACGTGATCTTCTAGTTCGCCTTCGGGGAACTGCAAGGCGTTTTTTCGATGATACTAGATGTCTTGCAGACACTCGAAATCGCCGTTTTGTTGGAATGTGTATGTAACTATGCAGCGATTTACACAATAACAGATAGACCTATCACGTCATCACTCCAGCCGGTGTAGTGCCGTTACCAGAGCCGTTTTCACCCCTAACTCTCCGTCTCATCATTCGCCAGACTCTGGCCCTGGCGGCGCGACCCTGGAGCCGCCCAGCACGAACCTCACCAGGCAGAACAGCCGGATACGACGCCGGCTCAAAGGCTTCTTCAACGCCCGGCCCTCGGCCGAGGAGCTGAAACGCAGCGGTATCCTCAAAGGTGGGCTCGGCGACGGAGTGTGAACACTTGACACTGGGACGTGTGGTACGGCGACCGAGAATAACCCCAAAACACGAAACATGGCGTCATTTTATGGATGGGAAAGTATTTCAACTGACGATTACCGAACGATTTACAGTCGTGTGCCGTGGTCGTGTGCCGCGGTGTAGTGTACCACCGCGGCACACGACCATCCTACCAGAGCACAGCCGCCGCGGCGGGTCACCTGACCCAAGACCTGACCTGCCCTCCCCTCCCTCCCTCCCCAGACGAGCGGGTGTTTGGCCGCAGTCTGACGGCGCTCTGCGAGGCGGATCGCAGTGCCGTGCCGCGGTTCGTCGAGCGCTGTATCGCGGCCATCGAGTCGAACGTGGCCTTCCTGCAGACGGAGGGCCTGTACCGGGTGTCGGCAGGCCTGGACCAGGTGCAGCGCGTCCGCTGTCAGGTAAGACACCAGTAACGCAACCGTGCCGCGCTGTACGGTATTGTGACTGGATTGTGCTGATGGTATCGTTATTTAGAATGGGGTATTTTGATAAGGATGAGGATGAAAATTGGAAGCCGGTTGCGTGACAGATTTTCGGCTGTATTTAGCAAAAGTTTGCGTGGGATACCATGAGTGTTCATACTTGATTTGTTGCCCGACATAATAGACAGGTAATTTCATCACTTGTTATTGTTAATTTCCAACCACCATCTGGTGCCTACCCTGAACCGTGAACCGTGCCTCTGTGGCATTCCTTCCCACATTCAACCGCAAAGCGTGCGGCCCTCTCGTCCTCCATCCGCGGTGTGTCCCTGACCCGCCCGGCCCTCCCCCCCCCCCCCCCATCAGGTGGACCAGGAGAACTACTCGGTTCTGGAGGACGAGTCGGACCCGCATGTGCTGGCCGGCGCGCTGAAGCTGTTTTTCCGCGAGCTGCCGCAGCCACTGCTGCCGGCCGGGGCGGCCATGGACGCGGCACTGCGCGCGGCAGAGGGGCAGGCCGGCCGGGCGCGCACGGAGGCGCTCCGGGCTATGGTGGCCTCCCTGGAGCCGGCGCACCGTGATACGCTGCACCTGCTGCTGCGCCACTTGACCAGGTCAGTTGGGGAGGGGGCGCCATGTCAGTCGGGGAGGGGGGGGGGGGTCACCAGGCTAGTGGGAGAGGTCACCAACTCATCAGGCTAGTGGGAGAGATGATAAGTCAGTCAGTGTTGAAACGGATTGTTAGGTTATATTTATTTTAGTTATGTTGCATCGAGGTTCGTGTTTATCTGAATTGATTTCATTTTGCAGTAGCGCTTGTATGTAGGTAAGCTTTTACTTCAGGCCAGCCATTTGTTATGGTCGCAGTGCAGAGTCGCTAGAGTAGTGTACTGTAACTTCTTTATAGATAAATCTCTTGTCCTTACGGCCATGCATGAAACAATACAAGACTCTTCGCTAATTACTCATGTGTATTTCATTTTGACACTTGCACCGTCCCTCTTCCCTCGCCCTCAGGGTGTGCACGCACGAGGCCAGTAACCGGATGGGGCCGCGCAACCTCTCCGTGGTGTTTGGCCCGACGCTCTCCAGCCAGCCGGAGGGTGACCCGCTCCAGAACACAGGAGATGTGATGCGACAGAACATGCTGGTCGAGGCGCTGCTGGCTGACTTCAGTCATGTCTTCCCGGCCGGGTAGGAGGGAGTCTGTACCCTAGATGCCGTCTTGGAACCCAGTGCCTTACCTTGCCTTACTGTCTGTGTGTGGATTGCGGTTATCGGTGCCTTATACAGTTCAGGCAGTTTTATATTGCAGTTGCTCACTACTCCTGACCGCGTGGCCGCTCATAAGCAGCTCTGGAAATGTGAGAGGACTAGCTCGCTGTAGTCGCTGCGTCTTGCAGTGGACGACTTATTCGACTTATTACTGTGCCAATTTGTTAGACACTGGTCGAAGATGACCCCCACTGGTGATATGTGGATGGTCGCCCCATGGGATGACAATTTATTGCCGATTGACGCAGCTATTGTGATAAACTCCTGATGCGGTTCGCGCGACAAGTGAACACGTGTAACGGAGCATTAGGTAGAGCAGTTAGGTAGATGATGCTAATGGAGGACCTGTCGTGCTTTGGTACCGGGGTACGAGGGATCCGTGGACTCGCGGCAGTCAGAGGCAGTTAGCCGTCAGTGAGGCCGCCGAGTGGGTACCGGTAGGGTACATTTGGCGGCTCGGCTGTCTGACGGAGCTGATATTGTGACACGGGGCATTCGCCAACAGAGGCTGATTGAACCGAGCTTGCAGTCTGTTGAGCTAGGACTGCTCAGTCAACGGCTGGTCTGACCAGCAGAACTGCGTGGCATGTCGGGCGATTTCGCCGAGGTTATGAAGCCGCGACCTGTGTTGGGCGCGCGCCTTCGGCTACGCCCTTGTTAGTTACGCGACAGATGCGGTACGTTATGGAATTTCGCGTTAAAAAATGTTAGCGGATTGTTATCGAGTCAATTAGTGATTTGAATGATTACGCATGCTACCCAAAGACGTGGCTGGTTGAGGTATGCAGCATGCATTTTGCTGTGGTTTGGCGGTCTGCCGTTTGGTGATGTTGCTTTTGCAACTACGATTACAGGGTTGTACGGACAGCTGCTGGATTGATAATATTTGATACGACGCTTTGTATTTGCCTTTTACCGTGGCCTTTGCCATACGGTTTACAAAGCTGCGTGCCAGCATGCCATGAATCATTAAACTGAAGTAATAAATATGCATGATTGGAAGCAATACAAACAATGACTAAGGTACACGGTTTCTCTCGCCCAGTTGCGAAGTTTTGCGTGAACGTATCTGAGACATAAGTAACACTGGCAGGTTGAATTCGTCCACACTACCACTTGTAAAACTTGTCGCCGGACGAGTTAAAACCACACATCATTCTTCCATACGTGACAGTATTGCCGTCTCGAATACAAGCGGTGAGAACCCCTCGAGTGAGAACCACACCGTCACACCTGAATATCTCGCCCCCTCGTTCTATATCGCGCCCCACCTAGCCGGTGCACCGTTCGCCGTTCGTACGCACCAGCCACGAGTCGAGTGCCGATCGCGATGTCACTCTGCCCTCATGCTTTCAAAGCTACAGCTGTGGGGTTCCAATCCCAGAGCTCCAGTCTCAGTCCCACAGCTTCATTTGCAGTCTCAGAGCTCCAGTCGCGGTATCAGGGCTCCAACTGTGGAGTCACAGCTGCTTCGGTCACGGTCCCACATCTCCACTCACAGTCACAGAACTCCAGTCGTGGCCCCGGTGTCAGCTGCTCCAGTCGCTGGGTCACAGTTCCAGTCGCGGCCCCGGTGTCAGCTGCTCCAGTCGCTATGTCAGAGCTCAGCTCAGAGTTCCACCTTCTGTACGGTGGCGCGCGCGGTGCGCGGCGGCTCGCTAGCGGTCGGGTCGGGCCGCACCTCCCCCGGCTCAATCTTCAGCTGTGAGGGCGCTTTGGTGCCGACCAGAGACTCTGGTCGCACCTGGTCCGGTCGAAAGGTGACCGTGCCGGAGTCGGAGGAGACGGTACTGCGCCGGGACTCGGGCAGCGGCACCGCGCCCGGGTCCGGAGAGGCCAGGTCGATACTGGCCAAATACCTGGGTAGGGGAGGGGGGGGGTCTGTCAGATAAGGTCTACGGGATGGGGCGGTTTGAGATAGGGTGAATACGTTGACATAATATATGCGGGAGGTTGCAGATTAATTCTGGCTTCATGTCCAATGAGACTAAGACCATTTACTTGGCTTGAAAAATTTACGGCATATCCAAACATCTGTGACGAACTCGCACACCAGTTCGAGCTTCCAAGGGCTTCCAATAAGCCCAGGACGGACGGTCACGGCACCCACCTGTCCTCGTGGACGCGACAGCCGAGCTGGAAGGCCGTGTCGCCCTCGAAGATCAGAAAGTCGTCGTGCTGTACCACCAGGGTGGTGTTGCGAGACATTTCGTCCTGAAAAAGAGTCAGTCGTATCGCTTAGTCATTCGTACTCGTTCGTTTCATTCATTTTCGAACTATGCATCACTTTACACAGAAACGCATCTTTTCACTATGAAGATGGTATAAATGTAAACCTATCCTGTCATGGAGACATCTTTTAGCCTATCACGAAGATTGCATTTTACACAAGAGCTGTCATGTAAACTGAATTTATACACAGGAACACTATCAGTATTCAGTCATGGAGATTGCATTTTGACACAGGAACATATCTGTCTTTGACTGACTGCATTTCCACACAGGAACGTATCAGTTTTGGAGACTGCATTTCTACAAAGGAGTGTATCAGTCATGGAGACTGCATTTCTACACAGGAACATATCACTGTCTTTGAGACTGTGTTCCTAATCTCACTGTCTTGGAGGCTGCATCTTTACACAGGAACATATCCCACTGTCATGGAGACTTCATTGCTACACAGGAACATATCTCACCGTCTTGGAGACTGCATCTTCACACAGGAACATAACTGTCATGGAGACTGCATCGCTACACAGGAACGTATCTTGATAATATCATGCGGGCTCTCCCATGTCTTCTCACCAGTGTATGGCATTGACGTTACAGACGGTATAATGTCACCCTACCGCGTCTCACCTGTATGACATTACAGACGGTGTTGGGCAGCGTCATCTCGACCTCAGTCTCGCCCTCGGGGTCGCTCATACAGGGCGACTCCTCCCCGTAGTTCCCGCGCGTGTACACCACGCCTTTGAACGACTCGGGAAACACCAGCCGGACCTTGAGCACGTCACTGCGGCAGGTCAACGTCACCGAACTCCAGCCCTTGGCCGACGGGCCGATCTCGATGTCCTTTCCCACGTCCTTCTCCCAAATATCTGAAACGTAGAACATATATCGGTAAGACGATTGAGGAATACCGTTGAAAGGCATCAGGTAGGTCTAAAGTGGATCCCGGAGCCTGTGTCAGCTTCAGAAGTGATTCACATGATTCACAGGGTATGTTGATTGCGGTGACGGGTGACAGACTTACGATATCCGGTCAGAACGACAGCGGATCTTACTCAATGGCGTTCAACCGGACCTTACGGGCACATGGAATTCTGCACGTCAGAGGTGATATGCTAAAAGGGCGTCGTAAGGAAGAGTTGCAGCATTTTCTCGTCTATTTCTGAAGCTTTCCGACCGATTTGAATCTCAAAGAAGTATCACCCTCGAATGGAAACATAATTTTATCAGTTACCAAACATGACGTCGTATGATCTCGATCGATACGATCAACTAGGGGTGCAGCAATAAAAAGTCAAAAACAAAAAGGGCGATGGATGAGATAAAGGTTGCATTATTTTTAAACAGTGCAGCCAGTCCATGTCAAAAGTTACCGGCAGTCCTCCCTCCTGTTCCAACCTTCTCACCTGCGGTAGCTGTCCGACACAGCATCATCATGACCAGTAGCAGAGGTGAGCACACCGCCGTCCACCGGCTCCGACGTACCGGCGCCTCCATCCCGACACTCAGCCGCCAGTCACACCGAAACAGAGTCTGACCGACCGGTACCGCCGTACAGACTCGGGAGAGACTCGCACAGACTTCTCAAAGCGCGCCTTCCGACACGCGTAGTCACTGGTCCCTTCAGACACACTTCCCACACAGTCACAGTCTGATCGAGCTGCTTTCTGTAGCTACGGCCCAGCCCCACACTCCACCCTCCGCAGCCAGCAGACTACACGCTCCAGCACACGGCGCCTGAGCCACGTAGCACTGACGGCGGCGGCGGCCGGTGGCGTCTGCGGCGGGCCGGCGCGGCGGTACGCGGGGGAGCCGAGACGAGACGACCGGCCCGCCGGCGGTGACGTCACACCCGCCGCCGGTCAGTGACTCGGCGAGGTGAGGTGACGTCATCGACCGGCGGCGGGGAGGGGTGGGATTAGAGGGAACGGCGGACCGCGTGAATTTATAACAGGTGCTAAGGATCGCGATATGTGAGCGCAAGGACCTATAACTATACGGGTTAACGGCTGAACTTGAAGGGAAGCGGGCCAGATTACACGCAGCGTGACTTTTTCAGAACAAAGCGATGCGTAATCGTATAGCCTTCCGTGAGCCAATAATGGCACGGGAAAATACTCAAGACCATCTCTCGTTAAATTTATTGGAACTAAGTTTTATATCTCTGAATCGATCCAAGTAAATTACATGTTTTTTTATGGAGGAGGAGCACGAGCCCTCCTGTAAATGGGCAGAAACAGCCCGTTGAATGGAAGAATGAATAGAAAATAGCATCGTTTCTTTACATCAGTCCTTTCCGGGTATCAAGTTTGTGATCAAAGGAAACAGGAAAAGCGTGCCATGTTTGTTATGCGCCAGTATTCAGTTTGTAGTGAAACCGCCGTATAAATGGGCTTTCGCAGTTGCTCGAGACCGCAGCCACGACGTGTATGAGAGCTCAACGTCCGCCGATTCACCTGATGGCTGAAGCCAATAGTTCTATGCTTCAAGCTTTTGTTATTTATCATGACAAATTCAATAACGCCCAGCACCCGACAGATAGACCGCGGCGCCATCTCAATTTAGCTGGTTATCAAACATCGCACGTCGGTCGCAATCCGGTCATCAATCCCAACACTTCAAACCATCCACATACAAACGACTCACTGACTTGCATCCGAGGCTGTATTGTTCTTTGTCACTGGGCTCCCCTCCCCCTCGGCCCTCCCCAGCAACACCCACCCCTCCCGCGAACCGACCAGCACGACACTGCCCTGCATTCTAGTAATAAAAACGTATGAAACGGCACCAGCTTAGAATAAAACACGCTTACACGGACACAACACACACGTTCGCACGAGACCTGGGATAAAACGGCACGCGCCGGGCGGGCGCCACCAAATGACGTAACAATCAGACGCAGCGGGCGCGCGCGCGCGCCAGAGATGGATGAGATGTGGACGCGAGCGGGTGAGACGACGTAAAAGTTTGGGCGCGCGCGCGGCGACCGTTCGGGGTGACGTCACCGCCGGCTGCAGTGTGACGTCACACGCCGAGAGTCGACCTCAGATCACTAGCTACTTGGACACCTGTGGAAAGGGAGAAGGGGGAGGGGGTCAATGGGGCTGGGTAATGGGTATACAACTCACAACGGGATTGGAGCTTTGCACCATTTTTTGAATAAAAAATTATCCGACGTGAGATGTTAGCCACGACCGCGAAAGCCCTAAGATCGGTAGCTACGTGTTTTTTTTTTTTTTACAAAACATATGGAAAGACGAATCAGCGTTCCTGTGCAATATATGCAAGGCACATACATTCCGAATTTCAGTTAAAACCCGTTGTTAGATTAGAACCGCCACCTTTCGGTGCAGGAAGAGGGGGTAAGGGAGCCAACGCAGCATGGCGCCTATTTTATTCTACCCATCACCAAGAGCTGAAAGGCCCCTAGCAGCGCCCTTCATTTGTAAAACACGCATCTGCAATTTGGCACCTACACTACATCCTGCGCTTTGAGGTCCTGTGGGGACAGGGCGCAGACCTATAGCTGGGACTACGGTAGAAATAAGGACCTAACCTTAGGATGAGCGCTAGGATTCTGAGCTGTACCAGTTATGCTACCGATATCTCGTGTAACGCTCGGGACAGGATGCTGCAGATCCTTGGGTGATACGACAGACTGCGGTAACTGTGTTCCAACCTCTGGGGCCGGGGACTTTACTAAAAAAAACCTCCCTAGGGACACGGTTACTAACTGACCTCTGGTGCGGCGCTGGGGACAGGGTCGTGCCTCTGCTGCAGGAAGGCGGAAATGTCCTCCAGCGTCTCACCAGTACTGTCCTGGAAGGGCGGCACGGCACCACCGCCACATGCACCGTCACCGACACCAGTCACCATACGCAGGGGCGCGGGTGGACACCACAGGGTACCGGGCCGGAGGGCGAACACAAACCACGGCTTGGGGCTGGGGCCGGAGTTAGTCACACACGGTACTATCGACAGAACTGCGACCTCCGACAAACCAGTGTAGAGTGTGGTTACGTTATGTCAAACACAACGTTACTGGGTGGTTCGCAGCTTCGCTTGGTGGGCGTTTGTTAAGTTAGGGTCACTCAGGGATGTAACTGCTTATGGTACATGCGCCGCCACCGGTTGGCCAGTAACAAACAGCTGCATCGGGCTGTCAAAACTACATCGGTAAATGCACAGTCATGCATGTTTCATTCAAACGAAACCTCAATTGATTGCATCCTACACCATACACTGGCGAGGCTGTCTCCGATCTCAGCTAGGCACAGCGGGAAAGTGAAGAAACACACAGCCGAGCGAGAGAACCGTATCAGCGACTCACCTGTACGAGATCTGAGCCTTCCAAAACAGCGCCACCTGCAGAGACAAGCCAGAGGCAGCAGCTCAGTAACCGTCGCGGGACGGGCAGGCGGAGGACGTCATACAATTACGGGGTTGGCGTGAGATCGAGTCATATTCGACGACCAATGAACGCACGGGGCCACATACCTACATAGATATGCGGTAAATATCTACGTCATCATTACGTGGGCGCCCCAACGCCTATCTAAAGATCACCAGCGCTGTAGTTTTGTATGACAGTACAGAAAAGCCCGTCTATCAAAACATGCTTGTCCAAATGCCCTGTTATATGTTACTCGGAGTAGAACACACCAGTCTGTATGAAACTAGCCGGCACTGTTTGGTGCAAGGGGACTCACCGACGCTGTTTTGTGTGACGGGGTTGAATTATGCCCGGGTGTTAGTAATGTACTAACTCACCGGCGCTGTTTTATGTGACGGGGTAGAATATGCCCGTCTGTCAGTAATGTACTAACTCACCGGCGCTGTTTTGTGTGACGGGGTAGAATATGCCCGTCTGCTGTCAGTAATGTACTAACTCACCGGCGCTGTTTTGTGTGACGGGGTAGAAATTTGCCCGTCTGCCAGTAATGTATGTACTAACTCACCGGCGCTGTTTTGTGTGACGGGGTAGAATATGCCCATCTGTCAGTAATGTACTAACTCACCGGCGCTGTTTTGTGTCACGGGGTAGAATATGCCCATCTGTCAGTAATGTACTAACTCACCGGCGCTGTTTTGTGTGACGGGGTAGAATATGCCCATCTGTCAGTAATGTACTAACTCACCGGTGCTGTTTTGTGTGACGGGGTAGAATATGCCCATCTGTCAGTAATGTACTAACTCACCGGCGCTGTTTTGTGTGACGGGGTAGAATATGCCCGTCTGCGGGTCCAACTCCCCCACCAACTCCATACTGGGGTCGGACGGTAACCGGTCACCGCCGGACGCCTGAGGGTACACCACGGACAGAGCTCGGTTAGACGGAGACGGGGGCATTACTCAAATCACATTCCCGATTCCCAAATTCCAATTCCGAGCTTTTTATCCCCAGAAAAGCGTTCGCCCAGGCTTTCCAGTCTGAGACAGAGCCTTGCATTCCATCTCAAACCTCCCAAATCAGCTGACAACACTTCCTCTTACTCCCTCCCCTATCCTCAGATCCTAAAAGGAAGAACATACGCCGACATAAGGCGTATTCGTCCCTCGTACCTGTAACACAGCTTCCGTGACGCCGTCCGTCGCCTCTCCCGCTTACCTAAGGATGGTCCACCCCACACACTACACAGCCCCATTCCCAACCCCGTACCAGAAGGACTGTCCCCGTGACGCCGTCCACCGCATCTCCCATGGTTACCCAAGGGATGGTTCCCCACACAGCACTTCCCCCGTACCTGTAGCACAGCTCCGGTGACGCCGTCCGGCGCCTCTCCCAGCCGGATACCGGCCCGCCGCAGAATCTGCCGCGACTGTCCCGGGTTGGACGTCTGGTGGTTCATTAACTGCACCGCTTGCTCTGTGGACAAGAGCAGGTCATAACGGTCACAGGACGTAGGGCGCAGTTAGGACGTCGCCGATCAGGTCACACACCTGGGTTCATAGGCCAGATTACAGGTCATAAATGTCTTCAACTTGCGGCGTGTTTTTATACTTCTCCATGTTTTTGTTTTCCTTTTCATATTTGATTTACATATTCTGCTGTAAAAAATATTGTCACAATGTAGCCATTCAAAGGCGTTATGGAAATCAGCGGAAGTCATATTCAAAGCCATTGCAATAGAGGTGGCAAAAGATGAAAATTTTGGGAACCAGACTCGAACCAGACCCGGCTGGACATTTCTGGAACCAGTCGGACCCGGTCTTAGTTGGAATCGGAACCAGTTGGACCCGTTCCCCAAAAGTCAAATAATACAAACTACTTGCAGGTATCATTACTTGCATCATGTAAAACAGCCTATTTCCCACTGGTTCGTTCGTTCGTTCATTGGGGTTTACGGGCGCGTCGACTGCGGTGGTCATTTTGCGCCCATAACGCTGTACTGGTAAAGCGGATATGTCAACAGAGAACTGACGAACTGAAGAAGACTAGGACTACCTGAGATACGTTATACTAGTAAAACGAGTATATCACAGGAAAACTGATGGATTGAATATAAGAAAAGATGCTGCCGGATAAAACCCAGGGTGAGTCATCACCCAGCAGGTGGCGAATGGTGGTGCCTGGGGCAATGCGGCCGAGGCAGCGTGTCCGGTTTGGTTCGAGGTGCGGGCAACTTAAGAGAATGTGAGTGACTGTGAGCGGCACGGCACAATGGCTACATGTTGGTTGATTATCTCCACGGAGGAGATAGCCATGCGTTGCATACGTATGCCCTATCCGTAGTCTGCAGAGGACCACTTCATGGTGTCTTTTGCCTTGAAAGCAGGACTGCCAGGGCTCCAGAGTAGGTTTCACCTTTCGTAGCTTCTCGGATCCATGGAGACGCCACTCTGTCTGCCAGCTAAACGTCGTAAAAGATCGAACGGCTGGGTAAAAATCGTGAGCCGGCAGAGGCAAACGACGGAGGCAGGGGGCCGCGGCCGCGCGTCTTGCGGCCGCGTCGGCAAGCTCGTTGCCTCTTATGCCTACATGGCTCGGTATCCAGCAGAACTGGATGAATTTACCTGCTCTTTCCACCGACGTAAGACGAGATAAAATGTCTTGTACTATCGGGTTGTCTGGATTAAAACTCCGTAAAGATAAGAGGCTGCTAAGGGAGTCTGACAAGATCAGATAGCAGGAGCTGTCAGACACCTCGATAAAACACAAAGCCTTCTCAATCGCAACGAGCTCGGAAGAAAAAACAGAGGCAGAAGTTGGCAAAGAGAATGTGCGTGTGTCATGACCAGTCACAAAAGCGCAGCCGACACCATGTTCTGTTTTCGAGCCGTCTGTAAAAACCGAGGTAAAACCATCATATGAGGCAATGTGTTCCAGCGCCCGTGCTCGTAGTGTGCATGGCGGCTGATCGTCCTTCCTGATGTCTGTCAGTAAAAGATCGATTCGTGGATACGCATTTCTCCAGGGCGGCGAGGGCGCGCTCCATGTGCGCCTCACGCCGCGGAGAGAAATGTTTGCTTTTGAGAAGAGAGCTTGCATACGTCCACCGAAGGAAGTCGATCGACCAGCCACTCTGTCAGACCGACTGATCTCTCGCGAGAAGACATACGGGTATGCCGGGTGCGAGGGAAATTGACGAAGTTTTAAAACATACCGCATGCCCAACATCTGGCGACGGAAAGATAGCGGTGGCTCGTGAGCCTCAGCCAGAACGCTGCTTGTTGGCGAAGTACGGAAAGCACCCGTAGCAACGCGAAGTGAGGCATGGTGAATGGTGTCAAGCATTTTCTTACGCGACTCGCTGGCGCTGTCATAAATGAAACTTGCGTAGTCGAGCTTTGAACGTACCAGAGAGCGGTAAAGTAAAAGCAAGGTTCGTCGGTCAGCTCCATACGACGTACGTGATACACATTTTAAAATATTTAGAGTTTTAAAACATCTCTCACGAAGAGTTTTAAAATGCTCGTTGTACGTCAGACGTCTGTCCAAAACAACACCAAGAAACTTTGCAACCGGCTGCGTGGGGATATTTCGCCCGTAGAGGCGGATTCCAAGATCAGGATCGTGGCAGCGGCGGCGGCAAAAGTGAACAGCCACAGTCTTTGAAGTTGAGAACTTAAGGCCATTATCCTTGCTCCACTTTTCTAAACGCGTCACAGCAAGCTGAAGTTGTCGCGACGTGTGCCGCACACTTGAGGCGGAGAACCATACCGCCAAATCGTCAACAAAAAGGGATCTCCCTATAGCCGTTGGGAGTCTGTCGCCAATGTCATTAATCATGATAGCAAAAAGTGCCACACTCAAGACGCCTCCCTGTGGAATACCATTCTCCTGAAGGTGGGAGCTGGACAAGTGGTTTCCAACCCTGACACGAAAGGTGCGATAAGATAAAAAGTTGCAAATGAAAAAGCCCATACAGCCACGGATACCATAGCTGAGAAGCTTCCTCAAGATGATCTGCCGTAAAACTGTGTCGTAAGCAGCCTCAATATCAAAAAAGATAGCCCCAAGGTGTTTCTTTTCGGTAAAAGCTGTCCTCACTTCGGTGTCAAGAGCTAAGATATGGTCAACTGAACTGCGGTGTTTCCTGAAACCACACTGCGCGTCCGTAAAAATGTCGTTATGTTCCAGAAACCAACTCAAGCGAGCATTCACCATCTTCTCCATTAACTTGCAAAGGGCAGAGGTCAATGAGATAGGACGGTAGTGAAGTGGGTCAAGTCCCGACTTGCCAGGCTTTAAAATGGGGATCACCGTGGCCTCTTGCCATGCTGCAGGAAACAAACCGCTCTCCCATAGCGAGTTAAATATCGCTAACAGTGTTTCCAGGGCGATAGAAGGAAGGTGCTTCAACATGGAATTGTGAATGGCGTCTGGGCCCTCGGCGACACTTCGAAGCGAGGATATGGCGTGCTTCAGTTCAGTCATTGTAAAAGGCTCGTTATATTCTATATGTTCGTCAGTGGAAAAATCCGCCAAGCCAAGCTGGGGCCGGGCTCGCCCTAGTGCGGGCTGCGAGGGAGCGTCACCCCGGCAGCGCTCTGAGAGTGTTCTAGCTATAGCCTCCGCGACATCAAAAGGATGTATTATATCAGAGTTGTTCACCCTCAGAGTCGGAAGTGGAGAAGAGCTGAGCCGTCCCGAGATGCGCTTTATGCGTGACCACACCTGGCTCGTCGGAGTAAACCGGTTTAAAGAATTAACGTAGGTGCGCCATGATCTGACCTTTGCCTCTTTGATTGTGCGTCGTGCAAAAGCCCGCGCTTTTTTGAAAGCGATGAGGTTCTCCATGGTGCTGTTTCGGTTAAACTGCTTGAAGGCGCGTTTCCGTGCTCGGATTGCGTTCCTACACTCTTCCGTCCACCAAGGGACGGGAGTGCGGTGGGGCTGTCCTGATGTCTTAGGGATGCACGCTTCGGCGGAGCTTAAAAGTAAAGACGTAAAAGCTTCCGCCGATGGAATACAGCCGTCGGCACTGGACAACGAGGTTTCCATCAAAACGGAAAACTCGGCCCAGTCGGCTTTATGCAGGTTCCACCGTTGTGGGCGCTTCCCCAGTGTCGGGGTATCCTGGTACGCAATCCACACCGGAAAGTGGTCACTGCCGAGTGGGTCGTCATGTACCGACCAAGTAAAGAGGTGAGCTAGAAGCGGACTTGCCAAACTCAGGTCAAGCGCCGATGTTTGGCCGGAAGGCAGAGTAAAATGGGTTCGCTGCCCTGTATTTAAAATACAAAGCGACTCATCGCAAATAAAACTTTCTAAGGCACGACCACGTGGGCCGATGTGATCACATCCCCATGCCGTGCTATGAGCGTTGAAGTCGCCCACCACAAGGACTGGTGCCGGGAGCTCACAGAGAAGGTGGCGCAGTTCTGCCTCCGGGAAAGCTGTACCAGGAGGGAGGTATAGCGAACAGACTGTGACTTCCCGGCGGTATAGGTGCACTCTCACAGCTACTGCTTGCAGAGGAGAGTTCAGAAGGAGCGGTGTGACTGGCAGACTGTGGTGCACTGCTATGAGGACACCACCATGTGCTATAGTGTCCGAATGCAGGTCCCTGCGGAAGACGGCATAGCCCCTGATGGTGCAAGTCATAGTTGGCGCCAGCTTGGTCTCCTGGAGACAGATTATGAAGGGGTTGCGCCCACGTATGACCGATTGCAAGTCCTGGAAGTTTGGTTTTAAACCTCTACAATTCCACTGCAGGATAAAATGTGCTATAGCTGTAGTTTTGAGCGCTTAGGTAAGCGAAAGGTGTCTAAAACTGTAGACTTTGGCTTGTGTTAAAAGAGGGCGAGGACTTAAAAACGCTCCTCGCCGCCGGGGCCCGGGCTACCACCAAAGACCACCTTTGGACGGCCCTCGCGGAGCCTTCCATCGGCAGACCTAGGACGGCCGGTAGCTCCCGGTTGAAACTTCAGCCGCGAGCGGGGGCTACCGTCGTTTGTCGGCGATAGCTCCCACGGAAGTGTGCGCTTCGTGGGGCGGCCTGGGGCGGGCGGCGGCCCCGCCGGTCTCGGTTCCGAAGGTGGCGTGCACGGAGGAGGCCGAGACCCCGACACCTCGCCCGTGGAGGGCGCCGGAGGGGCACCGGAGGGACGCTGTGAGGGGGGCAGTGGGGGCGGTGGGAACGGAGGAGGTGGAGGGGGTGGTGGGGGAGGTGGGGGAGGTGGGGGAGGTGGGGGCGGAGGTGGAGGAGGCGGAGGTGGAGGAGGGGGCGGAGGAGTAGGGGGAGGTCCCAGCAGAGGCCCCGGGGCATCAGAGCCTCTATGGGCCGAAGACACTCGACGCTCCTCAAGAGCCTGGGCAATCCGGCGTTCCCGTCTGGCGTCCTGCTCTAACCGTTCCTCCTGACCGCGGCGCAGCGCAGCCATCACTGCAGTCTCCCTTGGCGGGGGTCGGTGCACTTCAGCAGACGTGCCCGGGGCCCGCTCAGCGGAGCGCAGTGGCGAGACCGGGCCCCGGCGACGACCCCGGGCGAGGGTCCACTCCTCCTCCTGCTTCCTGCTTGGTGACGTCTGTGTGGCGGTGCACGACGACGCTTTAGAGGGCTCCTGTTGAACTGATGAGTTGCTGTGACTGTTGGCATCTGGGACAAAACAAAAGCCGAATGACTTCAGAATCGCTATTAGCTGACCGATGCTGTTGTTGGCATCAGTTTCAGTGGGGCAGCGCTGTCTAGAACCGTTGGCCACACTAGCATAAGACCGCTTGGGATGGAGGGCAGCAAAGCGGTCTCGGGCCTGACGAAATGACAGCCTTTCGGTGACCTTCAGAGACATTATTTCTTTTTCTCTCTGGAAGGCCGGGCATCGCCCATCAAACGAGGAATGTGGAGTCTGAGAGTCGTCACAATTGACGCATCTCAACTCAGACGACGAGCAATCGGCACTGCTGTGATCAGTTGCCGCACATCTCCCGCATGCCGGTCTGTTCCGACAGCTGTCTCGAGTGTGACCGAATCGAAGACACTGAAAACAACGCATGGGACTCGGGACATATGGTCGAACTTTCACGGACAGATATCCTATCATCACCTCCCTCGGCAGTTCCAGCGAGTTGAAAGTCAGAATGATACTGTGCGTGGGTGCGAGAGCGCCACTTCTCTTGGTGTAGATGCGGCGGGCGGCGGAGACCCCAAACTGTGACAGGCCTTCGGCGATCTCGTCGTTTTGCATGCCCTCCAGATCGTCGCAAAAAATGACCCCTCGGCTGGAATTTTTCGTGCGATGCGGCGAAACGCTGACCGAAAGGTTTACTTCCTTCCTGCTCTGCTGATCCTTAACTGTGTATGTGAAGTGAGTGGCTTTCAGGGCCCTTTCCGCCTCTCTATCGTCAACAAACTCTACTTCGATGCCTCCGTCTCTAAGTTTTTCACACCTCGCAATCTTACCAAATCTGTCACAGCCCTCTCGTCTCTGAAAGGGAGACAGCGACGCGAGTTTTCGTTCGTCGGATGTGAATATAAGAACTTTTGGTCGTGCTCCACCGACTGCACTAGGTGCAAGGGGTTCAGCCGAGGCTGTGGTCCGTGGGGGTGCCAAGTGAGAATCCATGGAAAGTGTAATTGTTTCGGTCCCGCAGCCTCCCACCCACCTCGGAGCCCAACTGGGGGACGGCCACACTCCCCCGTAGGGTGGTGGTCCGCCAGGAGTACTGCAGGACTATACGGGGGCCGGGACGCCAAAAGCAGCAAGACGAAGCCGCCGGGTACGGGGCCGCGTGAGCCGCGGCCGCCGCAGAGCCATGGGGCACGGGACCGGACCTGATCCCGCGCGCGGACATGGATACGGTGGCGCTAAGCCCCGCGCTGAAGGAATCAGGCGGCCCCTGCACCCGGCGGCAACCCCCCGCATACCCGTCGCCCAGCCCCCTTGACCCCGATTAGCCAGTGCCGCACAGGGCGACGCCTGACCGGCCGATTTCCCTCATGCGAGGCCAACATGGGGCATCCCGCAGATCCGGGGATTGGCGCCAAAGGCATGTGTTGGAAGGCTGCCCCGACTAACCCGCAGGGCAGCCCCCTCAACGCCCAGACATCCTCTCCCCGGTCTTTGGGCCGAAGGTACGGCTAGACCGATAAAACCAGGGGAACCAGAGAACAAAGAAGATGAGCGAGTGCAAAAAATAAAAAAAATAAAAAAAAAATGGGGGAGCTTTCGAAACCGTTGAGGCAAGCAGCCTGCAAGACCGGTACAGCGTAGGAAAACTGAAAACGCAATCAACGCGAGTATCCGCAAAAAAGGCAACAGACAGGTACAAAACAACCAAGAGCAATTCACGTGAAAAGAGTGCAATGCAGCAAACTGGCAATGGAATCGTGCACAAGGAAGACAAGCAAGTGTAAAAAAAAAAAAACTGGGGAAGCGTGCGGAACCGGTGAGGCAAGCAGCCTGCAAGACCGGTACAGCGCAAGAAGACTGAAAACGCAGCCAATGCCAGTGACCGCAAAAGAAATATGGGCAACAAACGGGTACAAGACGACCAAGAGCAATTCACGTGAGAAGATGGCACGATTAGAGACTGGAATCGCATTATGCAATGGAATCGTGCACAGAGAAGATGAGCAAGTGTTAAAAAAAAAAAAACTGGGAAGCGTGCGAAACCGATGAGGTAGGCAACCAAATGAGAGCAAACCAGCCAGGTGAGAAGACGGCAACGCGGCCGACTGGCAGTGGCATTGGGCAAACATCAAATCCAGCAAATGTGGGCAAAGTCAAGATCACACATATGGCAATCAACGCGAGTATCCGCAAAAAAGGCAACAGACAGGTACAAAACAACCAAGAGCAATTCACGTGAAAAGAGTGCAATGCAGCAAACTGGCAATGGAATTGTGCACAAGGAAGATAAGCAAGTGTAAAAAAAAAACTGGGGAAGCGTGCGGAACCGGTGAGGCAAGCAGCCTGCAAGACCGGTACAGCGCAAGAAGACTGAAAACGCAGCCAATGCCAGTGACCGCAAGAGAAATATGGGCAACAAACGGGTACAAGACGACCAAGAGCAATTCACGTGAGAAGATGGCACGATTAGAGACTGGAATCGCATTATGCAATGGAATCGTGCACAGAGAAGATGAGCAAGTGTTAAAAAAAAAAAACTGGGAAGCGTGCGAAACCGATGAGGTAGGCAACCAAATGAGTGCAAACCAGCCAGGAGAAATTCGCGTGAGAAGACGGCAACGCGGCCGACTGGCAATGGCATTGTGCAAACATCAAATCCAGCAAATGTGGGCAAAGTCAAGATCACACATATGTGTATCTAGGGCTGAGGGGGGGGGGGCGCTATTCCACTTCACCCGAGTGTGCCCGTGCGGTGCGTGAGAATGCAGAAAAGGCAACCAATGAAAATGCTCGCAAGAAAGCTGGGCAACAGACAAGTGCAAAAACTTAGTGCAAACCACGTGAGAAGACGGCAAGGCAGTATAAGCTGGCAGTGAAAAGAAACACCCGGAAGGAGCGGAACCGGGCGCAAAAAAGACACTCATCAGAAACAAAGGGAAAAGAGAAACCAAGAAAGGTCTGACTTGTCGTCTATCAATCCAGGGTCGAGTCCGGTTGTAATCGAGCATGAGTCAAGCTGGGGCCGAGGGGGCGCTACTCCCCTTGCTGGCGGAGGTCAGGGCCGCTGCAGGACGCGGGCCCAAGGAACCCAGGCCACCGCCAGCCCCCTGCGGGGCCAATCTTGCAGAAAATCCATCCGACAATCAAATCAGAGCCGAGGTCGAACGCAAGTCAAGCTGGGGCCGAGGGGGCGCTACTCCCCTTACTGGCCGAAGTCACAGCCGCCGCGAGGCCAGAGCCCAATGGTCCCGGCCAAGCAACGGCTCTGACCACGGTCAGCCCCCTGCGGGGTATTTCCCACTGGGAATACTCCTGAGCTACTGTGTGCAAAGAAACATTCACTTTATTCACTTCATATTTTGCAATAATGTGTAGTGTGCAAGATGGTAGGACCCGGTTGGACCCGTCAAAAAATTTCCAGGAACCAGTCTGGACCCATATGGATCCAGACTGGTTCTTTGGACCGGGTCCTCGGGTCCACATTTTGCCACCTCTACATTGCAATGACTGTAGGGTGACGGCCTTACCGAGTGTGATCGACTCGCCAGTGTCGTTGCTGCTGTCGGTGTCGGCCAGAGGAGGAGGTGCCGCCGCGACCGCCGCCGGGGGCTCGGGCGGGGGCGGGGGCGGCCGGCCTGGGCCCGGCGAGGAGGGCGGCGGCCGCCCTGAGTCCGCCGCCGGCACCGGCGCCGGCGCCGGCGGGGGCGGCGCCTTCTGAATTCCGCCTGATGGCGGCGGAGACGCAGATACTCCGTCTGAAGAGAAACGGAAACAAATTAACAACAATGCAGACAAAGCAAAGTAGGAAAAACATAGCTAACTGCGCTTTCGATCTCAAATCAGAAATACCATGAAACACAAACAAACGCTTCAAAGCACACGAAGAAGAAACAAAGCCCAAAAGCGACACCGGACGAGCAGAATCGAGCGCTGATTATACCACACAATCAAGTCGGCGAGCCTTCTGACCTGGCGCGGCCTTGGGGTTGATGATACCCGTGGCGTGCAGAATATCGGATAACACCGAACTGCTGTTAACCTGCTGCTGGTCCTGAAATGCGACACATGCTGGCGTTAGAGTTGGGTGGAAACAATATCTTCCAACAACGGAACAATTCAACCTTCTCAAATAAATCAAACTCCAGACTTGTATATCAGCAGCTGGTATCCAGGTAGAAAGGATAACCTAAAGACCTTTATAAGAAGTGCTTTATCGATAACGTGAGGCAAAGCATGTCACATGTCAGTGTTCTAAAATTGGATTTTGGTTGGGTGTGCCGATGAAGAAAAAAAGCCTAGGATGAGAAAAAGGGAAGTAAATTACTGGAGTATTTTTGCAAAATGGTGTAATGCCAATTTTTATGCCAACTGATAAACCAGGAATTCATGTCAGGATCTTGACATGGTGTGAAACAAAAGGATGAGGGTGCATCAACTGTCAAGTGACATGTAAACTGGCTGTTGGGAATACCTACACGAAACATTTTTTCAGAGATGAAGTCAAGTCGGTCATTCATATTTTAGGGATGAAAGTATTTTCCCCATTAGGTGTTATTTGCCACCAAAAAGTCTGAAAAATGGAACACTGTTGATGGTTGTTTGCAGGCAAAAATTTGAAAACACAATCGGTGAGTTGAAGTTGTTCTCGCACACGCAATTTTTTCTCATAAATTTCCAGTGTTCGAGTGTACTTGTACGTTATATGCATGTGTCTCGAGAGTCTCGAGTCGAACTCGAGACTCTCTCAGACATTCACCGAGCGCACCCACCTGAGCGGAGACCGGCGTCGCTGCCGGTGCCGCCGCTGCGGACAGCGGGGCCGGCGCCGCGGCCGGAGTGGGAGCCGGTGAGGGCGCCGGCAGGCGGGCCGCCGGGCTGGCCGTCTGCGGCGCGCTCACAAACACCGCGGCGGCGCCCGAGTCGGAGCGGGCGCGCGGCGGCCGCACCACGGTCGGCGGCCGGCCGGCAGCGCTCTTCTGCAGCACGATCACGCTGGCCGGAGCCCGGTTGGTGGGCGAGCCGCCGCTGGGCGATCGGCCCACGTGCACGGCGCGCGGCAGGGCGTAGCCGTGCAGAGAGTGCCGCACCAGCTGGCGACCGACGCCGCCACTGACGGTCACTACGCGGCCACCGGAGCCGGTGCGGACGGCCACCGCCGGCCGGACGGCAGCTGCGGCGGCGGCGGCGGCGGCGGGCGGGGGCGCCGCCGAGCTGGGCACCACCAGCACTGGCTGGCCGCCGCCCTTGGTCATCACCTTGGTACCGGCGGCGGCCAGCGGTACCGTGTGCGTGATGATCTTCACACCAGTGGCCACTGAAACACGGCAGGATCAGAATATAGCACCACACCGGAGAGGGAGCATGCGTACACATAAGGCCACACTCCGGTCCTGACGGCAATCTTACAACGGGACCTGGCCTGGCCATTGATACACGACTACAATCGGATCAAGACAATGTTTGACCAAAACCTGATTAATTATCACTGATTATCACGATGATCTAATTCGTGCAGTGGCAGATCGATGTGCATTGTGCAATGTGGTTAAGCCAACGGTAAACGGAACAATTGACCGAACTGCCATTCTTTAGCACGTATGACAAAATATCTACTAGCAATGGCGCAAACCATTTACAAGGAAAGATGTCCTGAGTCTCTGATAGAGAACTGGGTGACACACATCCGCCCGTTGCCACGAATTTCCCTATTCCATTTTGCTTAGACTCCGGGATCCGTAGCATTACTTCTCTCGTTCCCACCTCTGGTTATAAAATATTGCGACTACGTGAGCAATGTAAGGGAAGGACTCGCTACACCTACATGACAAATAAATAGTTGGGAGCGCTCACTCCCAGCCCATCTCCCTACCCCCTCCTCCTCTCCCCCCCCCCGAGTCTTACCGCGCGTGGCGCTCTTCCCCGGCTGTGAGGAGGGACAGTTGGTTGGCAGGCGTCCCACGCGGCCCCGCGCCCGTGCCGGGGTCCTGGACGCCATGGGTTTGCCCCTCGAGTCCAGACCTGACAGAGAACACAGGCAAGGTTACCATAGAGAAAACATAAGGGAGCTTAATGGGAGAGAGAATACACGGGTAGGCAAGCCAGTGGAATAATCACGGGGTTATATTCTCTCAGAGTAGGAACATACCGATACGTTCTGATGGAAATCTTCACTTCAAGCTCATTCATTTATTGAATACCATCATATTGAACAGATCACCAGAGGCTATCTCCGGCAGGACAAAAACTGAAATAATCACACGATCACACTGAAAACCACATATCCATCAGTCTCATCACATAGATATAAAACCTCACGGAAGAACACGTGGTTCCAAGTTTGCAGGAAAGAACGGTTTATCCACTACCGGCAGGAATGCGTTGCGTGCCGATTTAGTATCTATGGAGGTGAATACCTGATTTACCGCTAGGTAAATGTCATTGAACGGTGCTGACATCATGCATCATAGTGAAAGTCAAGATTGATATTTTTCAAAATCTGTTCAATATGATGGTATTCAATAAATGAATGAGCTAGAAGTGAAGATTACCATCAGAACGTATCAGTATGTTCCTACTCAAACACAAGATAGTTCACGGCATACCGCCCAGGTAACAGTTCGACACAGATACCATCTAACCGCGCACCAGCTCCATTTCACTGGTTTCCCGCAACTGATCTCATTCCGTGAGTCTTGCTCCAGCCGGGCACCAGGATAATCTCCTAAAGCGACCGGACAATCGCCACCACAGACGCCGTTTTCCCTGCCCGTGCCAGTCTCCGCGACATTGGGTCACAGTGGAAGGGAAACGAGAGGAGAAGATAGCTGTAGAGATGGAGAGATTTTAGATCGGATAAATTTTAAAAGAAGTAAGGAGAGGAACACGGAGGTCGACTGAGAGTCGGAATATATTCCAGACGACGGGCCTCCTGCAGCCACTTCTACTCAGCCGGAGTTTTTATCCTGTCATATGACTCGGCCCCCTCGACACCCCGAGACCCCTCGGACCGTCTCCGTACCTGCCATCTGTCGGTAGGTGTCCGTGTTGGGGTCCAGCGGGCGCGGCTGCCGCTCGCCGGCCGCCGCCGCGCCGCCGGGGCCCTGGATCACGCCGGGGCCCTGTATGACGCCCGGGCCGGGGCCGGGGCCGGGCGGGGGGCCGGGCAAAGGACCTGGCTCGGAGAGAGCCGTGGTTCGCGGCGGACAGGCCACCACTGGCGACGGCGCGCCGCTCGAGCTCGATACAAATATCACCTGGCGAAGAGGGCACAGTTAGGTCGACATCATTAATCAAACTTTGATATTGGACAATGAGAAAAACATAACGGTGTGAAAGCATTTCACCTACATGCCTGCTAAGTAGATTACGACATACTGTAGCCCTGCAAACAACATCTTCATCCCAGTCAATGTCTTCATGAGGCTGATGTGAGTCATCAAGCCGAAGTTAGTCTGGCTAACAAGCAGAAATTCCCGGCCGTCCCACCAATCTGCGGGGTGGCTCCGGACCGCCCCTGCCCTCCCCGTCACCCACCTTGTGCCCGGAGCTGGTGTTGACGGTAGCGGTGGCAGTGACGGCCGTCGGTAGCGGCGGCGCTCGGCTGGCGGTCACCCCCACCGGCCGGGGCCCGCCCCCGCCCCCGCCGGGGTGGCCGGGCGGCGGGGGCGGGGGCGGGGGCGGGGGCGGGGGCGGCGCAGCGCCGGGAACCGGCAGGCGGGGCCGGCCCACACCCCCGGGTGCTGAGGTGTATGGAGGAGGCGGCGGAACGCGCACAGTGTACGCCTCCTGCGGGTGGGATACCTGCCGGGGCGACATGGTACGTCAGAGGCCATTGCGCGAAGGGCCGCTGTGGGCAGGTCACGGGCCATTGCGCGAAGGGCCACTTACAGCGGCAAGAGCGAACATATCTCGCATCGCAAAACTAAACAAAGATCACTGGCAGACAGTTTTCATTCTGAGTAATAAGGAGACCCTCGCATGAGTTGAGGTCGTGTACAGGCTAGCTGGGTTCAGTGTCGAATTCGATCGCCTAATGTTGAGCAGGGCTGGGCAAATTCTCACCTACGTTCTGGCTGGGCAATGAATCTGCAATGCCTCGAATACCCGAAAGAATCTGGAGCTGGAAGCTAGAAGCATCCCGAAGCTGGCTGTACCCTTACCTGAGTACGCGCCGCCGGCGCCGGGTGTATTCTGGGTCCGGTGTCACCTGACGAGGAGGAGCGGCGCCGCTTCCGACCCCGGCCCTGCAGTTCGTCTTCCAGCTGAGAAACACACCAACATACATCAGAGAACGAATAAATCGAACGAGGACGTAGTGCTTCAGTGTAGTGAGGAGAACGAGAAGGGTTCATGCTAAACCATACTATATGACTGTGTATCATTTAGCAAAACTGTCGACACAAAGATTTCGCCCGGAAATTACATGACGCAACTGATTCTCTCGACCTGACCTCCGATGCAAAGCAACAGTCACCCCCCCCCCATCCCCACTCACACGCCTGTTCCATCATGCCGTCTTCCCATCCTCCATCGACTACCGTACCAAGTCCTACCTGTATCGACATGCCGGACGGCAGTCGTATGACGCCCGGGGTCGGTGACGGCGGACGGAGGTGCGGAGTAGCCGCCGCCGCCGCTGCCGGCGGGGGCCCGCTGGGCACGGCCGGGGCCGGCGCCGGGGGAGGGGGAGCAGGCGGAGGGGGAGACAGCAGAGCCGCCGGCATCTTGGAGGGTAGTGTGTCTGGCGACGAGAGCTCCTCCACCACTGTGGCAGCGGGGAGGATGGAGGGGAGTCAGCTGCGGCACTGGGTGGCGGTTGGTGTCAATTATACGTTTTCTTGACTTAAAATCACGAGAGAGAAGCTTTACCTTTTATGAGTCACTGATGAAAAACGCGGAAACAAAATGTAATCATATGAAAACGCCTACCGAATTCATGAAGAAAACTAAGTCAGTAGACATGATATGCCTAAACATTCTGTAGAATGACAGCAACTTAAGCAGACTGAGCCGACTTGAAGTCACATTGACCTATTCGCCATTCGTGAATTCAGGAAACCCGTCTAATCTGACTGACAATCCCTCCGTGACTGCCCTCCCCCTGCACTGACCCGGCTCGTAGCTGCGTGTATCGGCCGGCGTCGGCAGTCGGCCCGCCAGCCGCTCCGCTCGTGCCCGGCTGGCGTCGGCCACGGCTGTGTAGGCGGTGATGGGCCGACCGCGCGGCAGCACGGGCACCACCCGACGGCCCTCGACGGCCCAGTCGGTCCGCGTGCCGGCGCCCGCCAGTCTGCGGGGCAGGGGCAAAGACAGGGTCATAAAAGGGGCAGGGTCACAGAAAGGGGCCGGCGCCCGCCAGTCTGCGGGACAGGGGCAAAGACAGGGTCATAAAAGGGGCAGGGTCACAGAAAGGGGCCGGCGCCCGCCAGTATGTGATACACGCAGACGGGGACAGGGTCAAATATGGGGTCACAGGAGAGTACCGGCGCCTGTCAGTCTGCAGGTACAGGGACAAACACTATGCTTCTTCGTATCCGTAACTGAAAATCTAACTGAAACAGAAATAGTAACTGAAATAGCTCCAGAGAAGCTAAAATGCTTCTCTGAAGCGTTTCTATAAATGTTCCTACAAAGTTTAACATCCGTCGTTAAAATAGGATGCGTAAATAATAAATATCCACAATGGGAACGGGCGTCGTCATTCTTTCCGTTTGAGGTTATTGCTAGGATTTGAAGGAAAAGGGGTGTAAATGGTAGAATAGAACCGTCAGCCCGTAGAGGCATTTCCGGGGATTGTCGTGAAGCCGCCGCAGTCTGACACGCTTCCACTTTCCTGTTTATCGATCCAGCAACAGACCACGAGAGAGTATGGACATTTATATCATGTCAGACCGAGATGTGACTGACCAAGGTATGTTACTTATGGCTTATACGTCTAAGATATATGCCATGGTATGGATTATGGATTAAAAGTAAGATACGTAATTTTTGGAGACGATTCTCGATGTGTCCAAAAGAGCTGGACCAAGCGCGTTAACCTACACTGTTGTAAGAAAAGCGAAAACCCTCCACAGAAATGGGCACACTATGGTCGCTCTACATCCCCTGTACGTTCCACATCGCTAACCACCTTCCATGCCCCTCTAGTCCCCCTCCCTCTCCCTCCGCACCCCGCCCTCTGACCTGTGCGCGATGGTGTTGAGCGCCTCGTCGTTGGCGGCGCGGCGCACCTCGGCCCGGTGCCGGTCGGCCGGCACCCCCAGAGCGCCGGCCAGCTCCGCCAGCAGCCGGCGCTTCTCCTTAGTCAGCTCACCCTGGCCGCGGAACGCCGACACCACGCCGCTGTAGGCGGTCAGCTCTGTGGAAAGGAGGCAGGTCGGGTCAGGTCAGGTCAGGTCACAGGTTAGGTCAGGTCACAGGTCAGGGAACACCGACACCACGCCGCTGTAAGCGGTCAGCTCTGTGGGTGGGACAGGTCAGAGGTCAGGTCAGGTATTCTCGCCGCGGAACGCCGACACCACGCCGCTGTAGGCGGTCAGCTCTGTGGGAAGGGGGCAGGTCACGGGTCAGGTCAGGTCACAGGTCAGATCACAGGTCACAGGTCAGCAAACGCCGACACCACGCCGCTGTAGGCGGTCAGCTCTGTGGAAAGCGCCGGTCACAGGTCAGGTCAGGTCACAGGTCAGGTCAGCAGGGAACGCCTACAGAACGCCGTTGTAGGCTGTTAGTCAGTTCTGCAAGAGCGGCAGGTCACAGGTCAGGTCATAGTTCACTTCAGGTCGGGCCAGTCTGGCAACGGACGACAAAACACAAGGGGATATGTCAGAAGCGATGCAATACCTGAAACGGTAGGTAATAATTAAAACCTCATTTATCGTTCTCAAGAGCTTAAAAATGTTAACGCAAACACACAATCACTCCCAACGCAACCAAACAAAATAAAAAGCACATCTGACTTGCGGAGTTGCCCCCAAGCTCAGCATAAACTGGCAATGACAGCCGACACCCCAGTAAGCCCGCGGGCGATATTCGACACCGATCGCTGTAGCGAGGCAGAGGAGTGGTACGGAAAGAGTGTGGAGCCGCGGCGCGGTGACATGAAATCCGACACGGCCGCCTCCTCCCGGCCACCAGTCACCGGAGCGGGCGAGTTCTGGGAGTCTGAGACGGACAGCCAGCGGGGTCCCCCCCCCTCCCACCCCACTCCGGGGCGGGGAGATTTGGGAAGGAGAGTGAGCGCTCAACCTGGCGACTCTACCTCAGGTCACCAAAATCGTATTTGTATTTTTTTCCAGCTCATGTGTAATGGGTATTCTACACAGCCATGTTCATAATATGTCAAAACGTCTCTATCCCTTCCTTCGATGTGGTACGATAAATCAACGTCCTGGAGCGAGGTCATGACCGCTACCAGGCTTCTCGTCGAAAAATCGTACAGTTTACACCCGTTGGCCGATGAATATATACCCAGTAAACATGCCGACGTCGGCCCGACGTCGGCCGACGTCGGGGTGACGTCGGCAACTCGGCATCAGCATGCCGACGTCGGCCCGACGTCGGTCCAACCTCGGCACGACGTCGGCTGGATGTCGGATATGCCCGCATGTTCCGACGTCCAGCCGAGGTCCAGCCGACGTCGGGCCGACGTCGGACCGAGATAAATTGCTGAGGTCCAGCCGACGTCGGGCCGGCGTCGGGGCGACGTCGGACCGACATCGGCCGCTATTTTGACCGTTAAAATAATATAAAATACATGTTTCATGTTTCATAAAGAGCTTCTGTATTCAAAATATCCTCAGGAAACTCAAATCTTCCTCCACGCCGCAACCCCCTGATCCGGACTGGACGGGAAACTTTATCCCATTTGGGATTGCCCGTAAGCCGAGCTCACCCGTAGCCGGGTGCGGTGAGCGCTTGGGGGCTGCTCGGCCTATCCTTTGGTCAGGCTCAGCCCCGGCAACTCACCAGGGCCGGGCCCAGTTCATATAGAAAGGCCAGTCGGCAAGTGTCACTTTGCCAAAGTGCCACTTATCAAAGGGACACTTTGGGAAACGTTGGTGCAGGTGTGTAAGAGTGGCTATATGAATCCATTGTGGGGTCGCCCTTTCCAAAAAGTGTCACGTAACAGCAATGGGACCAGGGACTCTATATGAACTGGACCCAGGGTGCTCGCCAAGAAGACCAATGTCTCCATCCTATGATCCTTCCGGCTCTGAAATGGTCTTGTCAGACCGAAAGGGCATAACTCAACAAAACAAACCAGTTTCGTTAGCTGGCTGCGTGGTGTAGTGGTTAGCGCACTAACCTCGCGTTCGAATGACACTGGGTTCAAATCCCATCGCCGGCTGATGCTTTTGGCGTGTTGTCCCAGTAAACATGCCGACGTCGGCGACTGGGGGGCTCGAATCCCGCCGCCGGTTGATATTTTTGGCGCGTTGTCCCAATAAACATGCCGACGTCGGCCCCGTCGGTCCAACGACAAACGATCTCGTCAACCTCGGCAAACGATCTCGGCCCGACGTCGGCTCGACGTCGGCTGGACTTCGGCTGGACGTCGGAACATGCGGGCATATCCGACGTCCAGCCGATGTCGGGCCGAGGTTGAACCGACGCTGGACCGACGTCGGGCCGAGCCTCGGCCCGACGTCGGGCCGACGTCGT